CACAGGCTTTTTATTACACAGTTTTAGTAACCACTTACTGTTTTTAGTCTGGTTATCTTCCCAATGAACTAATTGGGAAAGTAAGCAGAGTCGATTATGCTCACTATGTTCAAGATTAAAACTTGGGCAAGTAGCTAGTGACTTTCACATCCCAGTACTAAGCTTAGCAAAATATTTAAAAAAGGCAAGGGGCTCTGGAATTGGAATTGTAAGAAGTCTATAAAATCCCCGGAGCAAAGCCTAATTAATCTTCTTGCTTATTTGTACTTAACCAACTGTTATATCATACCTAATTTTTTTTTATTTTACATGTAGGTATTTATACTTCAACACGAAATGGATTTAAATCAAAATCTAAAAAAGCATTAGATGCAGTGTATGCTTTGGTCTCTCAACAAAAGACGCTAGGAAATTTGCTTACAAGTATCCAGAAAAGAATCACATGTCAGACCTCATAGGTTTTCTTGTTTTATGAACAGAAACAAACCGAATTTCTTCGAACACCTAAGGCTACTAGCTTAGTTCGAGCCACTAGCTTCCACAGGACTGTCAGGACTCACACTCTTCCCAACCCAAACCGACCGATTCGGTATCTCTACAACTTTAACATGTATTTACATAAATTTCATGGCCTTAAAATCGCCACAAATTATCACACTGACCAGGCGGGTTGACCAATGTATTTAGAAAGTACTAACGACATCACAGATTACTTCAAAGACAGATTACTTCCACAGGAACTTCCACAGGACTCACATTTTTCCCAACAACTCAACCCAACCCAACCCGACAAACTCTCTTTCTCTACAGCTTCAACATGAATTTACATGTTCTGTCCACTGTTGGACATAAACCTCCCCCGTAGATCTCATGGCCTTAAAATCACTACAAATTATCACACTGGCCAGGCGGATTGACGAATGTATTTAGAAAGTACTAACGACATCACAGATTACTTCACCATGGCAGAAAGTTTTCATCAACGGGAGCAGGACTATCTATTAAGGGAATGTGTTAATTGTGGACCATGGCATTTTTCGAAAAATTGACCTGTGTGGCCAAGACTATTTCAAAATTCGGATGGAAATTTATTGTGAATTGGTATGCGATATCAAAATTTTCTGTGTTCATAATTTAGAAGAAACTGATATGATGACAATGTTAGTTTTAGTTTTTGGAAATGATTATGAGACAATCGTATGTATGAATTTACTAAACCGGGACAGTTTTATTGCAGTTGTCTGACTGATGACCTTCTGAATTTAATTTTATCAGAGACAAACAAATATAGTGGGTACAAATACTCGTCATGGCCTGAACTTAACGAAACTGAACTGCTGGAGTTTTTGGCAATCTGATTTCATATGGGAATTGAAAAGAGCCTCGTCTCAAGGACTACTGGTCACTTCATGTTGTACTTAGCAAACCATATTCTTCGAATTATATGAGTAGAAACAGTTTGTTCATATCTTAAACTGCTTTCACTTTGTCGACAGTGAAACAGTAGATCGCTAAACTATATAAAATCACTTTTGAGTGAAAACAATACATCAAAGGAAAGTGACTCAAATATGGTATTAAAAAATATAAATTGTGCTCTGAAGGAGGATGCTATAAACAGAAGGGTGGGCTATAAACACATTTATTGTATATGCCGGAAAAAGCCGTGTTAAAAGAGTATCAACCATGAAAATCGTTTTAGAACTAATGGAAGATTTTCTTGAATCTTGAAGAATTCCATTATATCTTCCATTAGCCCAAAAATTAAAAAAACAATTAGAAAGAACATTTAGATAGGCATTAGTAACTCAGATGTCACAGTTTTAAAGTACAGAGATAAACAGGGATGTACTAATGCTTTCGATAACGCATACTGATGCTATTTTACCTTTACAAAAATCAGATTATTTATGTATACTCCAAATTTGGGCTTACACCCCGTTTGTGAGGAAGACAACAAAATGGTATCCACGTTTATTATTCTATTTCATCACTCAAGCAACATCAATAACAAATTAAAAATTAAAAAATTGTAACCTGTAAAGAAATTATATACCTTCTTCACAGCGAAGTGCTTTCGCCCTCTTAGAACCCTCAAAAACTTCAAAGAGGTTCTAACACTACACATAAAATTAGATCAACACAGAATCTCCCACAATATCGAGGGCCTCCTAATCACCCTAAAAATCATAAAATGACTTTGTTTAGGTGAAGTAGCTGAGCAAGAGAATTCTTGGCCTACAAAGAGCTTTCACAAAGCTGGAATAAAATCGCAAAAATAGAAATTAGAGCGGAACTGACGAAACGGAGATTAAACTATTTCATGGGCAAAATAATAACACCGTGCTGCAAACTTTAACTTTTCTTTTGTGTAGAGTAGATCAGTTGAGTGTTTTTAGTTAATTCTGGGTTGCTGATTTCAAATATGACTTCCATTTTTTTGTAACACGTCGGTACAACGACGGTACAAATATGACACTACCTATAAAATTGAAAGAGTTATCCATGTTGCAAGATTAATAATCAAATAAAAACCATATAAAAACTTCTAACTTGCATTTATTTATATAAAGTCATACGAGTACTATCTTCTTAAAGATTTACTCGTTTATTTTTAACATTCCACACTTTTTAACGTCGCCATTCCTATTTCATCTTTTATCTTCATTTTGTTTATCCATCAGATAGCAAAATGCTTTATTTTCATTTGATTTCCAGTCTACACCTATTATAGCTTCATTGACTTTGTCGCTGATGGGGTAACCCGAAACTAGTACGACTTTATATAAATAAATGCAAGTTAGAAGTTTTTACATGGTTTTTATTTTACTACCTATAAAAGGTAGATCTCTTCACCTTATATCAAGGTGCCAAATATCAAATTCATTGCATCTACAGTTGCATTATAAAATCCTATGTCCAGCAGCAGTGAGACACCTGAATAAAAAAAAACGTGACGTGTAACAGAAAAATTGAAGGCATATTTGAAATCAGAAACCCAAAATTAACTAAAAACACTCAATTCATCAACTGTACAAAAATCTCGCAGCAAAGTGTAATCAGTAAAAGTCGATAATTGGTAGAATATTGACATGCAATTAGGATAACGAACTTAACAAAATATACAAACGCGCCTCCAATTACAACAAGCGATTGAAGAGAAAACGAAAAATAAATATCTTATTGGAATATGAACATAGTCAACAGCATATTAACTGCTAGGTATACTATGCAATTTTAATTCTAATTAAGCGACTGTGATTGACTTTTCATTTCAAACAATTCATTCGAGACAGTATTTTTTACTGATGATATGGTAGTATACCATATATGGTATACTACCATATCATCAGTAAAAAATACTTGAATATTCATCTCACCATACTATTGTATGTATATATTAAAGAAGATGCAAATCCAAACACATCATTGTGACATAATTGTTACCTATCCAGTAACAAAAAATATGAATCATAATGATGCCAAACTTAGGTACTAAGGCTGTATTTACAGAAGACAATTAGCAGAATGTAATAATTTTCCTTTACAATGTTTAGTTCTACACAACATTACACTATAATCGTCGCATAAAGTATAGAGGATATAACTAATTAATTTCTGTATTTTGATCATTTCTTTTTATCTAGTTTTTTCTTGTTTGTCGTCGTTGTTTATTTAATTTAACGGACTCATATACGTTATTTTTAATTGAGCAATTAATTGCTTTTATCGCGACATTCAGTCGATTTTATCTTTTTATCTCTTGTATGCAAAATAAAGTATATGCTAATCCAGCGTAACAGCTTATACATACAGTGAAACATTTCAACAAATTTCATTGATAGACCATGTAAACCGGCCATGATATGTAACAATTGTATATTTTTTTGTTTTATATACAAAATCACATTTTTCTTTAAGAAATTTGTATGAATTCACGTTTCTGCTTAATAACTTTTCTACCCTCTCCAATTGTTGTTATGGTTATAGTGTCAACATGATCTTTGTAATTTTATAATATTTCTCAACGTGGTTATAAATACGATGATCACACTGAAAAATATTGCTTTTAATTAATGTCATTAAATTATCATACTGGAACGCAACCGATTGCAGTTGCGTCCAAGTAAATGTTTAATATGTTCGAAGAAATCCCAAGCTCCTCAGTAGAACATTATAGCTATGTGACATTAAACGAGTTGTTCTCTAAACAGCATATTTCAAACCTATGTACACGATAATATTTTCGTATATTATATAAACTCCATCAAAACAACATTTCAATAATAATCTGATTAAAATCAATCTAATTCACATTCCTTGCATATTCATCACCACAATTAAACTTATCGATTAGTCTGTGGACACCTGCACTTTAATTTAATTTGTATTATCAAATACCATATCTTAATAATATCAAGCACGTTGTTGATAGATTGAGCGTGACAACTTCAGTTTCAATAACTTTTGTGCCATATCGACGCTGCCAAGCCAAAACGGGATAAACAACATTTACTTAATTTGTCAAAAAACATAAGAAACTTTCATCACGTCGCGTCTTATCCAAATAGGCATTTGCACAAACTTTAAACCAACATTGTAGGGATTCGAGTTTGTTTGCTTTAACTGTTGAATGCTGATCCTGCAAATCCTGTTCAACGGTGTAGCTAAGTAAAAAATTACCATTTTGGCGTTATGGCTTGACAGGATATATGTGGGCACAGATGTTGACTTATTGTTAGTCAACCACAGATTTCGAGAAGACCTGGTTCTTCACAAGTTCAATACACATCAGAGTGGACCTTCCAAGAAATATATCACGGAGCGGGAGATGTATAGAGAGCCGTCGCGGTATATCAAACCGTCAGAGTACAGAGGAGATGCTCTACAATAAATTCAAAACACTCTATGTTATATTAAGTGCTACAACTACAACAAGTAGTCTTGTTGTAGTTGTCTTACACATGAACAATAATCATGATAATTTTAAAACAAACTAATTTTTCCACAAAAAAGATATATTTTATTGATATTTTAACAAATACAATTAATACACATTATGCTACGCTTAGGAAAACAGGGCTTTGGTTGCTGTGTCGCCACAAACATCAGCAGGTGTATCCCCATTTACATCGACAGCTTTGGAATTAGCTCCATAATCCAAAAGAAGCTTGATACAATTATCATGTCCACACGTTGCAGCATAATGCAACGGAGTTTGTCCCTCTGAATCAGTTAGATTTACGTCTGCCCCTAAAGACAACAACAACTGCAAGATATCCAAAGATCCTCGATCGGCCGCCCAATGTATTAAAGCCAATCCATCCTCATCTAGTTGTTGGAGCGCATCAGCAAGTTGTTCTTTACTGTACGCTTTCAAGATTTTATTTGTTGTCGTAATGTCGTCATCTTTGATATAATCGGTTAACGATTTTGAACTTTCAGGAATAACTTCTCTTGATAATGTTGAGACGGTTACCCAACTATCTTTTTTATCTTTTTTTGTTGTCGTGGAGGTGAAAGTAAAGTTTGCATCAAGTTTCTTGATGTTTTCTATGTACAAGGATTTGGCTTGATTTTGGGGCATATCACCCAGTTTGTGCCACGCCTCCCATTTATAACGCCCTTTGCTGTCAAACCAACCAGGTTTAGGGATGTTGCATCTTCCTTCATTTGCCTGTTTATAATACCCATATAATAAAACCAGGGTGTTATTGTCTAACTCAGAAACAATTGTTTGCAAATGAGACGCTGCTTGATTAAATTGTTGTGTTAGTTCATCGTCGCAGTCTAAAAGTTCCTCTATATCATTAAAACTATCTGACTTTGCCATTGTGATAAATCTATTTTAGTTTACTATTTAATATTTCTATAAATATCTATTAATTTCTTAAGGTGCATTCAATTACATTTGAATGTTAGAAGTAGTTGAGTCATGCACCTTTTGGAGTTTGAGTGTTCTACCTTCTAGTTCATGTTGTTTTGTATTGGTAGCTTTGTCAAACCCATCTCTATTACTGAACATAACAAATCCAAAATTTCTCGATAAACCCGTTTTTCTGTCGAAAATTACGTTCGCGAAAGCAACCGGACCAAATTTGCTAAAATAATTTTTCAATTCTATGTGCCCGACTGTCCACGGAATATTACCAACGTATAATTTAACGGCGCGACTTACAGAACCCATATTATTCACCTCGTAATTTCAAACAAATGAATACTGTGACCACCGCTAAGCTCGTGCAAGTCCAAACCAACACTCGAACCTAAATTGTTTATATTATGCACGAAGCACTTTAAATTCCACTTTGCCAACAAATGTTCAATACTCAAATCGGAACTACGCTCTTGATACGTAAACAAAAACTTCGATTCTGGGTTATGATCCAAAATATAAGAAACGGTAACCAAAATATCTTCAAAATTCGAAGGTTCGTAAAAACAATCAGACGCAAGAATTAAATCAATGGGACCGTGATCTTGTAAGTTATGCAAAAATAATCCCCAAGTAAGTCCGATTAGTTTAATATCACGATTTAACACTAAATTGTTCAGTTGGCAACTACGTTGAATGTGAGCTAACGATTTCGGTAAAGTGATCGATTCGCTTAGAGTTACTTTAGCACCGCACTTTGCTGCTACTATTCCAGGTAACGCTGTACCAGAGCCTAATTCCAAGACGTGCTTGTTAACGAGCTCTTGACGTTTTTCCCAGAGAAACCAAGCCAAAACTGGTGCACAACACCAAGTTAAAAAGGAGTAACTTGCTTGAACCAACTGAAACAAATAGAAACAATTATTATAATTATAAAAGATATCCTTATGTTAAAATATAAAAACATAATACATATTTTTATAGATCTAACTCGTGATTTCAGTCGAATATGCCAAATTATGCAATCGAACGCTTGTTGGGGCAAACCTAAAGGTTATATTACAAGGTATATTACTAAAGTAATAAATAAAACCCCTCGCGCACCAACGCTACGCGTCCTCGACGTCATTTCATTAGAAGTCACACGGCGACCGATGAAATAGAAGCTCCTACACTAATGCTACGCGACTACAACGACCTTGTAATAAAATGATTCGACACTCATTAGCTTTCAAAAAACGATTTGTAAGAATGATGTCATCAAGTGATGACGATATTATTGTAGCATATAATTACTATTAGTGATGCAATGAGTCGACAACTTTTGGTATCGAGTCGACTCGAGTCAGATTTGAAAAGTATCGAATGCTCGACTCAATTCTTAAGAATCGTTCCATTTTTGAAAATTCAGTCCGACTCGATTCCGATGCTTTAAAATTAAACTCAAAAAATAACTTTAAAAATAAACTTAAAATTAAACTCAAGTCCAAGAATCGATACGCTTTGATTTTTATCTGAAGCAATGGTGACATCGAAAGAGACTATTAGACGCAAATTGGCAGTTGCCAACCCAACCCCATTAGACAGAGCCTGCACTGTAGGTACCTGGGCGTTGACATCTCTAGCTGCAGAAATTTGCACCAAGAAGCTAGCGCACAAGTCAATAAAGACTCCAGAGTATCTGGATATCTGAGAGACATCGTATGGGGGAACAAATACATGACCAAGGAGAGCAAAGTCCGCATCTGCAAAACGGTAGTGAAGCCGGCACTGACTTACGCGTCGGAAACTAGGGCGGATACGTCAAAAACCAAGAGCATGATAAGAGCCACTGAAATAAGAACGCTAAGAACTATTAAAGGACTAACCGTTAGAGATCAAACAAGAAGCTCGACAATATGGAAGGAACTGGGGATGCCTGATGTGGTGCGATTTGTAAAGGCGAGACGCAGTTCTTAAAGACACTACGTGGACACGATGGACGACGAGTGTTGGGTAAAATGGCCCAAGAATGAGAAGCCGACATCGAGAAGACTTATCGAAAAGGTGACAGGAATGCTGGCCTTCAGCATCCTTCATATCGATACAAATGACATCAGAAAAACTACTGACAACCGGTTGTTTATGGGTAGCGTAGCTTTGGTGTGCGAGGGGCCTAATATAAAGACATTAAAGAAAGTAAAAATTAAAGACTTCTTTAATTTTACACTTTTGACAGACATCGTATTAACGGAATTAAAACATACAAAATGTTTTTTGAAAGTAATTAATAATACATTTTACATTACATGAGCCATTACATGCACAGATGTATACATTACTTACATTGTGCTAGCGTTTTGACTACTAAATCGAAATGGAGAAATGTAATATTAAATTGACTTCTCTCATTTGTACTTAATGTATATGTGAAATATATAACATTGCTATTGTACTGGTGCACTAGCTATTAATATATTTAAGATAGAAGAAACTAATATGTTAATACATGACCTCATGATCAAAAGCACTCTTTTCCCCAAGATTCCTTTATTAGTTAAAAATATCATTGACCTCAACTGCCTGGGATATCTAGACGTTAGGAACGTCCAAGAATGTTTTCGTACATCTACCAAAACATGATGTTGCTTGAAAAAGTGAAAATTAGAATAAGAAAAAAGAGATAAAGTAAGATTCTTGAAAACCGAAACCCTATCTTTATGGTTAAGCAATATGGCAACTAAGACCATAAAACGTTCGAGAAGAAACATTTAACAAAAAAAATACATGTTTTCTCATATGTCTGATAACCATAAACAAATACAACTATACCTTATACCAAGTGTCCCGATAAGAATACATGTCTCGACATTGATAAGGCTAATCGCGCACTACGACTTTTTGTCGCAGTAACAGAAAAATCGTAATCACCATAAATTGAAACATACCGCGCATTGGGCACTTAATCGGATTTGTTTTCAATTCATAATTGATTTTGTGGAGTCCGTTTGTGTAATAGCCTTATTATTACGAATGAAAGCTAGAAAACCACAAAAAAATATTGGGTACATCCACTTGCATATCAAAGACCGCTCATTTTTGACAGTCGCGTTGCAGAAAAATAGAACCGGTTGGGTGCTATTTATTCATCTTTTCTGTCACTACGGTTTTTTGGTTGTAAGTGCGTGTGTTCTAATTCAAAACAATTGGATTTTTTGCTATAAATCGTGCGACATAAAGTCGTGCGCGCTTAGCCTAAAGATTAGAGATTTGGGAAAAAATCCTAATGAGCAAAATGAGCAAGCGAAATAGCTTGAAATTATTTTGAAGCTCGTAACCGACATAAAGAAACATAAAATTCTTTAAAAAATAGACTTCCTACTACAATAACGCGATTCGGATATTGCTCATCTTGATGTACGTTTTGGTCATAATGCGCTGAACAACTAACAAGCCGGAACCACATCTTCCTTCTACGTTTTCTAAAAGACGTTTTGCTAAAACTGTTCTCCGTTGAGTGTTGTCAAAAAAAAGAGGGTCTATAACCCTCTATAAGGGCTCTACCTGCCGCGTCCAATGTGGGTTTTGCTCGAACCAACAACGCATATTTACACCACCTACAGTATTGAAAGATAGACTTCATGCATCCATAATATTTATGAAAAAAAATTTGGATTTGCCTATATCATATTTAACAGCTAATGACAATAGTTTAGTCTGTTATTATAATCAGCGTCTGTTAAGGTCTGATGTAAAACAATGTGGCAAAGATGCATATTATTCTCTTGAAGAATCTTGTGAACAATTGTTTTCAAAATTCCCAATCAGCTCAATGTGGAATTACATTGCGCAGCATTGCTCTACGAATTCTTAGAGATGTTTTGAATACAGTCATTTCTACATCATCTACTTTTGATTGTAGATCACTAGTATTCTTCAACTAAAGTAAACTACTTCCTCTAGAAACAAAGTGCGATCTTGTATTCCTAGAAAATACATTCTCCACCAAAATATTTTGATTTATATTTATTATTATTAATTAACCAATACCTGGTTTATTTAGCTTATGAGTGTAGTTTGTGAACTTTAATTTAAAGCATTTCTGAGCTCCAAACCGTTTGAATATCTCAATACAATAAAGCTTGCATTGTTCAAGCTCTTTGGACAGCAGATCCCGAGACAGGAACCTTTGGCGTCTACTAATTATTCCGCCACTACAACATTAGAAGAAATCAAGTTCATACTTACAAGGATCAGGATGTTGACATTTAAAGTGACTATGTCACAAACTCCCACTAAATGCCATAATCCTGGACCAATAATGGATCATAATTCAATAAATTTTTAAATTAATTGTTTTAATATCAAAAATCTCTATTGTATTAAATCATTGCTTTTTAAAATGTATGTTTCAAAAAATATATTTATTTAAAACATCTGCTAATAGATGGCGGTTGAACTAAATTGTCAAAATGTCAAATTTGGAGTTAAATCTGTCAAATTAAATTGAGTTATTAAGAAAAAGTTGCTTATTTTAGATTTTTAAAACATTTTAAATGGTATTTTATGCCTCCTAAACATTTTGTGAACATCATAGTAATCAACATTAATTATAATGTAACTCCACCATGGTTCCCACAACAAATATCATCCCATCTAATTTATAATATTGTGCTAACTCATGCAAACAATGAGGTGTTATAAATAAAAAGACTAACAAAACTAAATATAACATTTATACAAACCTAACCTAACATTTTCTAACCTAAACGGACTCCTATCCTTCTACATTAAACCAATATCTCTAATAAATCCCGCATATACAAAAATCTGCATGTTATTTACCATATATTTACCTATAACGCATTCAAAAGTTGTTAAAAGTAACACCGTACACTACATAAGATAGAATTAGCACATGGTTGATTACCTAATAATAAAAAAGCCGGATAAAAACGAAAATAACCACATTAAATACAATTTCTAGCTTATTATTTGTTTACCTCAGGAATTACGATTTCCAATTGTTCCTCAACCGGTTCGCCCCTTGAATTAGTTTTGGAGGTGAAGATAAATCGTCTTAGGTTCTCTTTTGGACCATCACTCATTTGGACATAATGGAACCGATCTGGAGATAAGGCTACGTGTGCGTTGCCGTCACACAGCGATGCAAACTGGTTATATTTTCACATTCTTAATGTGTAGAAGCAACCGAAATTAACGAAAACAATGCTTTTGTATCGAAATTTACATTGATTTCTTTTCGCAAATTATGAAAAAAAGGTGCAAAAGTTTACAGCAAGTTTAGTGATGTTAGCCACTTTAAAAAAACGGCTAAAAGTTACTAGATTTATATTTAAGAAGCGTTTAATGGTTATAATTAATTTGTGACTTGAACGTTTTTCGAAAAAGGTTGATTATCGTGTGAGTTTGAACTTAGTTTTATTGAAATTAAAAAATAAATTATTGTTAAATTATGATAAACATTATTCGAAATTAGAAAAAGGTTGCCAAAGTAAGAATAATAAAATAACTAGTTTTAGTGTAAAGTGATTATAAATAATTGTTTTTAGCAACATTTGTGCAAATTAGTTAATTATAGTCAATAATAAATAATAGTAATTATAATTTTTAGTAATTTATTAATAAAATTATAATTCGTATAATTAAAAAATGTTATTTTATTGTTTATATCTCAACTTGACAACTTTTTCTTTTATTATTTACAACATATAGATAATCCTTTTTTACTTTTTGAAGAAAATTATTTAAAAACGGGAAATGTCCTTGGGGAGATTGCGGAAGGTTTATTATTATTTAAATCACGGTTGAAATGTCAATAAACTGACGTTTAAGTATTGACACGGTAGAGTGCAGGTTATTTTTGTCACATTTATTCCTAATTATAATAAGATTTCTAAATAATATGCACCTTGTAAATTGGAGTGAACGCACCAGCAACTATTTTAAGATCATTCAGTTCTAGAGTTAGCCCGTTAATTCCGAATTAAACTTTATGGATCGATTAATCTATTAAAAAAAGTACTGTTCTTTATTTGGTGTTGACCTAGTGTAGTTCTGCTCGGGCCGCATTTCTTAAATATAATCGTAAAAAATAAAGAAAAACCAACTCATTACGAATTATCGTTATGATAAATTTGTTATTGTTTGTGTTTATTGCTTATGAATAACCTCCTTTATTCTAAAGAAAAGAATGCCTGTTTATTGTGAACACCAATATGATGGAAAATGATGTTGATGGTCAGAATGAGTCGGAAATCGAACAGAATTTCTTTGGATGTGGTAGGATATTACGCAAACAGAAACTTGATAAGAAAATTTGTGCCAAAGATGAAAGAAATGCCTCCATTAAAAAGGTAAACAATAATAAAAATTGACATAACCTATAAAGACTTTATTATTATTATTTTTATAGGTATCTCTTATATTACAAAAAGTTGAAGATGAACGAACGGTGGATGACTTGGAAACGTTGAAAGAACATTCAGATGCAGTTGAGGAAGTAAAATCAAGATGGAAACGACGTGATGCTGCTAAAAGACGGTTGGAGGAGATTGAAGATACTCCTACAGATTTAGAGGTAAAATGCCAAGTCCTTGCCCAAGCCATTGCACAGTCCCAACATCTTGTTGTATATACCGGAGCTGGAATTAGTACAGCAGCAAAAATTCCTGATTATAGAGGAAGCAATGGAATATGGACTAGAATGCAACAAGGGAAAGATATTGGGTATGTACAATAAAACTAAATTAATTAAAAATTACAAAAAAATATTAAAATTTTTTTAATGTTACAACAATATACTGATTTTAGTGAACTTCTGTTATAATGAGCTCTTTAGTGTGATCCATGGGGGTTCATTATAAGAGGATCAATGTAAACTGTATTGGAAGTAAGATTTCTTCTTCCTCCTTGGCGTTACAGCTCAAATCGAGCCCTGGCCTCCTAAGTGTGCGCATGGAAGTAAGATTTATTGATATAAATTTATAAAAAAAATATTTGTTACTGATTTTGAAAACGTTAGTTTTTCTGTCTTCAACTAAGTATAATGTATAATGTACTAATTACATAAAACATACAAAATTGGATCTATATTTACAAAAACATTCATGTTAAAAAACATTAAATAAGTAACAAGATAAAACCATGTTCACCAGTGTATCAAGACAATTTTGTCTGTTGCATTGGATTAAGTGATTTACAAGAACATCAGAAAAATAATTGTACAGAAAAGAACTAGTAAAATCTATTTCAGTGTCAGAATGTCTAGTTAGTGAAGAAATTGCTTCTAAGTAAGGTATGAAAAGTTGTTAGATGATGTGATACTAACTATGGTGGTATTAGATTCACTATTATGGAGATCAATAGTGAACCACATCCTCATGTGCAATCTGCTTTGAAATGCTAACACATCTGTGTATGAAACTATTGTTACTGAAATCAATCTTACCATAGAAAGGTTTAAAAATGTCTCCATATACAGGATTAACTTAAATAGCAGTGAAGGTTAAAAAGGATGTTTGGTCAGCTAAAAAATAACACAGTGTTGAAAAATTCATGCCCATACAATAAGTGAAAAGTTATTATCTGCAGCAGAAGATATTATGAATTGAATTTTGATGCTGTTAAACAATTGGATGTTGTATCCCTGTCAAATGATACAGTTGAGTACAGAATAGAGAGAAAAAGAAATAGAGAGCACTATTTGTTGCAATTATCAATGCATGCTACTACTGATTTAAGAATTTGAATAACTTTTATGAGGAAAATGGCTTAGATTGAAAGAAATGTATTATATTTGGTACCGATGGCGCTGGAGCTATAACCAGAAAATATGGAGGTATCTTCAGTAAACTCAAAGTAGTTACAGAATATTCTACTTTTATGTATTGTTTATTTCATTTATTTTCATATCCAGGTAGTAGGTATTGCAGATAAGTTTTTTATTCAGAAACTATAGTTTATCAAACTTCAGAACTCTGGACCAGTAGAAGAGCTGCTTCCTTATGTTGCCTCGCCTTAACCGGTTCTAGACAGTAGGTACCACATTCAATTGTTACTTTATGCAGAGATGATTCACGTTTGAAAATGTGAAGTAGATTGTTTGAATTCAATTTTCAGATGCAAATGTTTCTGATGACAACTAATTTTGAATTGCGTAATCGATTGAACAATGTTATGGCTATATTTATTCTCCTTAATATCTTCAATTTAAGTTTGCAAGGAAAATCAATCAATTGGTATTGATAAATGCCATTTTGAAAGGAAACTTACAATCATTTAGGCTATTTTCTGACTAAGCACAGCATGAACATAGAAGAAAATTTTATTAACAACATAAAACATTATTATCAAATTCTCGTTGATTCTTTTGAAGTTATTTTAAAGAAGATTATTTGCAGTTTTTTTGACAAGAAACCAATTTGTTTACAATAAATATCTAAACAATTCATTTATCAATAAAAGTTAATCTTTAATACAATTGTCTTGTGATCATATCTTGAAGACAGAGATTACCCAAATAGAGTTGAGTGAATTATGGTTAAAGCTAAAAAGTCAGTACCCAATTCACCAAAAATGTATTGACATTCCTAATTTCATTTACGACTGTTTACTTATTTTTTTGTAAAAGTGGATTTTCTGCAATGAAATTTGTTTCAAGTGTGCAGTATCATCTAATTAACAAAATCAAAGATATAAGTTTGAATGCCACTGTTCCATAAAATAACTGCAATTCTTTGTGTTGACTAGTTCATCATTTTGCATATGTAAAGGATTTCATTGTGGGTGAGAATATCTGTGCTCTTGCTGCAACTGAAACATGGACACGTTCTGATTTTGATTTGAGTCATGTTCAAGTGGGTAATTTTATATTTTTTATATGTGTCTTTACTTGATACAATGTAATAAGCTGTTTTTGTATCATCTTCCGTTTCTGCAATGATTATATCATACTGACTTTATTTTTGAGAAATTCAGTATGAAGCACTTCTTGTTTGTTCAACTTTCTACATAAAAAGTTAGATCTTTACTTATACCTAATGCTTTTGTAAAGAAGTTCAGACAAACTCTAACAACCCTTTTAGATTCCTTTGAATACGAGATATGCAGTATTCCTTCAAATTTCGTTTTGGTTTCACTGTTTCCACGATGATTTTGTAACATAGATGGCGTAAATGGTCAATGATATATTAGTGCAATCAAAGCTTTACCGTTGTCTAAGAGTAATGTCTGAAATACTGCAGTTTGATGGTGTTCGCAATCTCGGAGTTAGCAGCAGCTGAATAAATCTGTAATAACAGCTAAGGATGTTATGTTATGTGTGAGTTTTCACGCTATATTGCCCTATACCCTCGTGTCGACATGACGCTCAGGGAAGGTGGGCAAAGAGACGATGTTCCAGGAGAGTTTCGCGTCCCCAATGGAGTTTCTATGCCTAGTTGCAATAGAACTAGATTGCAGTTTATGTTAAGGCGATTGATAGGACATCGTTATATCCTTTGTCACGGATATATTGAACCGTAGAAGTGTTTTGTGGGTAGAATGGGTTAATCAGAAGTGTCTATTGAGATGTTCACCAGTTCATAGCTCCGTCCAAGATAAATGTTCGTCTCGGGCCAAAAAACGGTTATATCGTCGTCCAGGTGTTGTTCCAATACGTTGCGGACAACGATGAGTGTCAATGGTTCGATTGTATTCGCTCTATTAACGCCTGAATGTTGTAGGCCTGGGATATGGTCTGGTGGGATATACGGATCTGTCCGTTATAATCTGAATTTCGAACGCCTATACGGTCGAACAGCTACAGATGGATCTTGATGATTGTCTCCAGTTGTTGGGTTTTAGCATTACCGAACAGCAACATTTTGGCATGGTCTAACAAATTTTTAAGAGATGTATTTTTGTCATCATCGTCATTGAATCTTCAACCCGTTCTGGGTCTTGGCCTTCTCTAGAGTTCTCCTCCAACTCTCTCGGTTTAAGGCTATTACCTTCCAGTTCAATCTCAATTCTTTTGGGGCGTCTCTTTCCCCTCCATCGGTCCATCTCTGTACGTACGTACACGTAACAATACTTATTGTTATTTATTTCAGATAAAGTTTTCAACATGTCTATTTCAAAATCAAGTGGAAGTAAGAGGAAACTCGTGGATGAGCATCGTATGTTTCTAGAAATGTGGGGAATAGAGTTTTTTTGCTGTGAAGTAAAAGACAAAATTATTTGCTTGATTTGTAACAGTACAGTCGGTGTCCCACAATTATTGTAATATAAAACGTCACTATGATTGTCATAAAACTAAGTTTGGCCAGTATACAAGCATGATTAGAAACGAAAAGTTAAATGAGTTAAAATCACGGTTAAGAGATCAATAGCTTATGTTTACACGTCCAAAACAAGAGAATGAATCTGCTCTTCAAACGAACTACGTATTGTCGGAGTTGATCGCAAAACACTCAAAACCATTTGTTGAAGGTGAAATTATAAAAGAATGCCTTGTAAAGGCCGCAGAAATTGTAAGTTCTGGCAGCATGAAGGCTTTTCAAAATATATCCTTGTGCCGAAATACTGACTTACTGAGTTGGCTGCCTATATAAGTGACCAGTAAAAACAAAATCAGATTCTTTCATTGCATTTTCTATTGCCTGTGCCTCTCTATTTTTCTTTGTGCTGTTGATGAATATCAACGTTTATGAAGAATTACTGGAATTAGTACCATTACATGATACAACAACTGGGAAGAATATTTTCAATGTTGATTATGGACTTCTAGAAAAGTACAATTTAGGTTTGTCAAAACTGTGTTCCGTTGCAACAGACGGAGCTTCGTCCATGACTGGAGTAAATAATGGCTTCATTAAAATATTACAAACAAAAATCAGAGAAATGGGCAATGACGAACCAGATTTTCATCGTGTTCATTGTATAATCCACTAAGAAGTTTTATGCTCAAAAGTGATCAAGTTGGAAAGCGTTTTAAAATCAGTGAAAAAAATGATACACTTCGTAAGGTCACGTGGCTTGAATCAGCGACAGTTTTTTGTGTTTTTACGTGATTTAGTAAGCGATGGCTTTCGTGTTTTATGGTTCTCGATCGGTTTTGGAAACTTAAAGCAGAAATACGTTCTTTCATGGAAGTGAAAGGACAAGATGTCAGCTTATTAACCGACGTACTTTTCTTACAAGATATTACATTTATGGTAGATATCACAAAACACTTGTCGGAATTACAGACGAAATTGCAAGGACCACGTCAAGTTATAACAGATATGCATAATCATGTGCTGAAAGCTTTCAAGTGTAAGATGATGCTGTGGGAAAAACAGTTAGCAGTGGATAATCTGTCACATTTTCTGACTTGTAAGGCGTATCAGGAAAGTACAAGTGTCCCGATTTCAAATGTATACAAAGAAAATGGCAAGCCTTCTGGCAGAATTTGAAAAGCGTTTTCAGAATTTTTTCTTTATTTACTGGGCTTTTCACTATCGATATTGATAAAGTTCCCCATCACTTGCAAACGGAAGTGATTAAGATTCAGTGTAAAATAAATAAATAGTGTTGATACATTCGAATTTTATAAGTACTTGCCTGTTAAATACCAAAAAATGAGTAAATTTGAAAAGAAGTAAATGTTTGTACTTTTCTGTAATGTCCTTTTTACTCAAAAATTTAATAAATATACTTGTCCTATAATATTACTTTTTTTCGTTAAGATATTCAGCAGCTTTTAGCCCACCACTTTGAGTTTGACATGGCTGGTGTAACCCATAGTAACATCTATTTCCTAAAAGCTTCCTTTGTACTTCCCCCCATGTTATTTTTATTGTTTGAGTGATCCCAAACATACAAAGTCCTCCACTTCCTCAAAGTTGTATTGGCCTATTGTTAGATTTTGACACTATTTATTGTGAGACCCATCTCTGCTGCCTGTTGAACCTCAACCTACTATTACTCTTTTTTACAGAGTGGTTAACATTGGGAACCCATTATTTATTTATGGACATTTGTTTCGTCTCGATATACCCAGACGTTACTCAGAAAAAAAAATAAAACTGTAATATTACATGATTTATTATTTATGATATCTTGTTCGATAATTCTAACAAGTGCTTTTTCTTTGGCCTGTAAAACATCAATGGATTTTACGAATCCTTCGATGTGAGGCGCCGTGGCTTAGTTGGTTAAAGCGCCTGTCTAGTAAACAGGAGATCGTGAGTTCGAATCTCGCCGGTGCCTGATTTTTTTTTTCCTTCTAAATAAACTCATTTACACATCTTTCAAATATTTATTTAACACAATATTACGGTTCTTATTATTGCAATTTTAATTATTTATTTAAATACTATTACCAAATATATATTTTTCTTAATTATATTTATGTATATTATGTATACAAACGGTATATCTTGATGATGATTGATTTGTATTACAATTTTTTTTTGCAGAAATTATGATTTAAGCCTAGCAGAACCAACATACACTCACATGGCCCTTTCCCAACTTTATCGTAAAAAGATATTAAAATACGTAGTATCCCAAAACTGTGACGGTCTTCATTTAAGATCGGGATTACCAAAAACCGCCCTTTCCGAAGTTCACGGAAACATGTACATTGAAGTATGCAAGAATTGCAAACCAGTCCGTGAATATCTCCGTTTATTTGACGTTACTGAAAATACAGCTCGTTTCGCCCACAAAACAATGAGAAAATGTTACTCTTGTAATTCACCTTTATTAGATACGATCGTTCATTTTGGTGAAAGAGGCAATTTACAATATCCGGTAAATTGGTCTGGTGCGTGTAAAAACGCGGATAAAGCGACAACGATTGTTTGCCTTGGTTCTAGTTTGAAAGTGTTAAAAAAGTATCCTTGGTTATGGCAAATGGATAAACCGGCAAAGAAACGACCGAATTTGTATATAGTTAATTTACAATGGACACCAAAAGACGAGTGTGCAAACGTGAAAATACATGGTAAATGCGATTTGGTTATGAAAAGAGTTATGGAACTGTTGGGATTGGACGTACCTAAGTATGATAGAGATAAAGATCCGATTTTTCATCATTGTACTTCGTTATTTGAAGGTGAAGAACATACTCTAACGCAGAGCGTTTTAAAAAGATTATCAGTAAAAGAGGAAGTTTTAATCAAAGAAGAAATTAAAACGGAAACCGCCAGTGAACAAAAAATAGTAAAGGAGACGATCAAATACGATCTCAACGCCACGGCTACTTACAGTTTTACCAACTGTGATAATAATACGAGCAATACAACCATTCAAACTCCTATTATATCAACCTCCAGAAATCAGGTCAGTCTTCCAAATCCAATAAAAATAGAGAACAACACTAATGTACTACCTCCAAAATCATCGTTTACTATTGATAGTATATTAGATACAAATAGAACGTTTACGAACACCATAAATGATACTTTGGTTAGATATTATCAATTATCAAATTTATTAATGCAAAGACGTATTTTAGAGTGTCCAGATTTATTATATTATCCTTTGTATACGAACTTTTTGTATTCGGGTATACACAGTATTATAAATCCGTCGTTTTATCCGAATGTAAATCAGGTAAAAACTATCGCGACGCCCGAATGTAAGTTTTGTCATAAGAATTACGAATCGTTTAGTTGTTTGTTTTATACGAAATCAAATCCCGAGTTCCTTAATGTAAATTTTCGCGATAGTAAAATCGATGGTAGCAAAAAACCAAACGTTTGTGTATGTTGTGATTATTCGACGGAAGAGGAAGACGTTGAAAACTGCGATGACGTTATATCCGATAAGATTCAGAAATTGGAGGATCCTAATGGTAGTAAGACGGAGAAGAAAGTTCAAGCAGGATGGTTTGGAAAAGGCTACAAAAAAAACCGACGACTAAAAAAGAGATAATATTTTTTATCAGTATTAATGTCCTGTTGGTATTTTTTAATTATTTTTACTACTTTTTTTACACCATTTCTGTCCATGTTTTTGCTAATTTATGAACTGATGTGATGTGATTTTTTTTTAAATAAAATCCTATGTTAGAAATAATTACGTTTTATTTATTAATTTTTATATTTATTAGTATCTACCAAGTATAGCACTTATGTTAAGTGTTGTAAAGAAAAGATTTTAGCTTTCCCATTAATTTGAACCACATGACGGTTATCAATAAATTGACATGAAAATGATTTAGATAGGATGTTATCATAAATAAATTTATCATAACTAACCAAAACCAGTATTACAGCTTATGTTATAATAAAATCGAATTGTTACATATACTCTTGATAGTAAAAAATACAGTGTGTTCTCTTATAGGTGCACAATTTTATGTTGTATGTTGAATACAGCGGTGCATTTTTTTGTTAACATCCCAACATTCAATTATAACAGTTGTTTTATATTGATTTCATTGTTACACGTGATGATTTTTGCCTGGATATAAATTTAAACAATTTAATTCACGAAATAAACCTTGTTTTGACAGTTTCTGTGATGTATATGATACAACAATATGTATGATTTTTTGATCACTTCATTATTAAACATTATATTTTGTATATGGTAAGGCACCAGTAGCTCCTGAGAGTTATCTCAGAGTTACAAGTTATCAAATGTCATACTTTTGAATATAACTAATTTTATTCAAATATCAGATTAGAGTCTTGTCTTTATTATATCTTCCCCTTAGTTAGGTGAAACAGAAGATGGTAGTAACAGGTCTTAGACAGCGATAATGCAGTTTTGGATCAAAAATGACAGATTAAATCCACTCCTGCTGTTCTGTGAAGCATTTTTTGGACTGGCACATTTATCACCCCAGCAAGGTGGCACCAAACAATGAGGAATGCTATCAGTTCGTGTAGGTACACTTTTAGTTTTGAATACAACTTTCAGTCTGGTTTATGAACACATCATATATTACTGTATAGAGTGATAGTCGTGGCTTTCTCTATAGCTAGCTATTGTCTAAGAGTATAGTCTGAAAGACTGCAGTTTCTTCCAGACGAGTGACGCGTCCCCAATGGAGTTTCTATGCCTAGTTGAAACAGAACTAGATTGCAATCTGATGCTAATACGATTGATAAGACATCGTTAAATCCTTCGTCACGCAGATATTGAATCGTAGAAGTGTTTTGTCTCGGGCCAAAAAGCGGTTAGATCGTCGTCCAGGTATTGTTCCAATACGTTGCGGACAAGGATATACAGGGTGTCAGATAAAAAACGCCCCAAGCTGTAACTCTGTCATTTACATTCCGATTTTCATGAACGAGGTATCAAATGAAATGGTTTGATGACTACTATGATTCATGCTACAAATAAATTTTTTCCAATGCCAGCTTCAATTTTAAGCGATTATTAGCCTTTGTTTTTCAAATTGCTTCATATATTTTTCTTCATGTCATTAGTTAGAGATTGTTTTTCTGCATATAACAAAAGCATAACAAAAGTTAATATCGCTTGAAATTGAAGAAAAATTTGGCGTTGGAAAAAATTTATTTGTAGCATGAATCATAGTATTCATCAAACCATTTTATTTGATACCTCGCTCATGAAAATCGGAATGTAAATGACAGAGTTACAGGTTGAGGCGTTTTTTATCTGACACCCTGTATTAACGCCCAAATATTGTAGGCCTGGGCTGTCCCAGGTAAACCCTATGGTTTACGTGGTGATCGATAGAGGTCTTGTTGATGATCGCTCTTCCACTTCTCCGATTGATCAGATAATATGTCCGTTATAATCTGAACTTGGAACGTCTATACAGTCAGCTAGCTATAGGTGGATCTTGATATTGATAATTATATCCAGGTGTTGGGTTTCAGCATTACCGAACAGTAATAAGATATAAGTAACATTTCGGCGTTTTTAGCTGTATTGTATTAAACCAGCTCAGGTAATGTCATTGGTAAGACTTCCTTGAGTTTCTTTAAGGTAATTTTGATACCTTTGTTCTGGAAACCGGTGTTATCTATTGATCTTGGCAACAACGCTTTGGATTTCCCAGTGGGGCTCACGTTCGGGGTAGACTAAGTTGTTGTTGGGGCTTTGATTTTAAACTTCACACTAGCCAGTTTCTTCTGAAGACTGATGACATGTAAGGCTCCTTTACAGGGCTAGTAGCTGCTCGGTGCAAGCCACCAGAGGATTTCAAATGAAAAACTAATGTGCTTTTGCGCATTTGATGTACCGCTGAATCTGGCACCGTCTGCAATATTTTTCTTCGCGTACTTTCCCGGACGTAGAAAGTTTCTTTCCCAGATTCCTCCTTAGATAGATAAACGTTTTTTCGTTACGTCCCTAACGTCTATCTTTTTATGTTTATAAAATGAGTAGTTTTGAAGAAGAGGTGTTTGCAATTGCATAGTAGGCATCTTAACAATAATACATAGGTAATAATACTAGTTTACACTGAAATATCCAATATCAAATACTTATGCTAATGTAAATCTATTTCTTTACTAAATCATAAACTCAAAAGTGTTTCCAAGTTATATACTCGGCCGTTTAGAATTAAAGTTTGTGATATGTATTCTGTTGTGCACTATCTTCATCATAAAACTAACGTACTGTGGATGTTTCATTAGCTGACACGATTTTCATTTCTACTTTAGTTACGTTTTGAATTAGGTTTCGTTTTATTTCTATTTGATCCGCCAATGAAATGTTTTAACAGTTTTAGCCATTGATAGAAAAAAGATTGTAATTGGATCTTCTGAAACAGTCTTTTTAATTAAATAATCTTGAGATACAGAAGGACGAAGTATGCGAAGTAGACTGTGTAAACGAGGCACGTTTTCTGGAACTTCGAGTTGACGTAATCACTGGAGTTATATTATTTATTTCAGAGTAATTATGGATATCGGGGTTTCGAGTTTCAGAGAATGACACTTGTGATCGTTCATCAGCATCACTTATTGTGCCTTCTGAATTGGCAGGACTTGTTACAGCTAAGATATTCGTAATGCGCTCTTCATCTTTAAATAAATATGGAAGTAAAAATGTGAGCTCCTTATAAATATTTGTTGCAGCCGTGCCGTTTTTTTTTTGTTTGGCATAATTTAAGTGTTTTCTTATGGTTATCCCGTTATCTAACCCAACGTTCTCGGCAGACATTACCTGAAATATTTTTGTTTTAGGTTTCTAGCTACTGGTAACTCCTTCAAGTCACTACAGTTACAACTAGTTCTCGGTTGGGCGAGACAACAGTGCATGAAATAGTTTACTCGTCATGTCAAGCAATTTGGGAAAAACTACAGCCGATAGTTATGCCAACTCCAGATGAAAATATGTGGAAAGAAATGATCGTCTTTGTTGGTGCACTAACGTTATTAATAGGCCGTTATCCATTTTAATTTACTTTTGTTGGTAACAAAATGCACAGAAGCTAAATCTGGCGTACGATTACTTCCAGCCGATTCATGTCCTGATTTGTCGCACACTGGTGCGGATTTCCGCATGTTCTGGGCAATTTCGTCGTAGGTTTCTTCTACTTTTTGTGTCTCTGTAGTTGTTAGCGGTATCCAGGGCGGTCTGAAAACTGGCGTCGGATTTGTCGGTCATGATTTATTGGTGAAGAGCCGACAAAGTAGTCAACTTCCATGTTATCCGCATCTCAATGGTTATTCCGGGAATTCTTGTTATGGTTTTTGCAACCATAGCAAATAGTAGTAGTTGCTCTGGATGGAATTTCCTGAGGCTTCTTGCATCTGGCCTACTTCGTACGACTACGCTTCACAAGAACCTTCGAGATCTTTGCAGGTAGAACTTAGCAAAGGCGAAAACATATTGTTACACTTGGGTGACACCAGGGTTAGTCTATCAAATAAAATTCGCCTTCCTACGAGGGATTACAATTTCTGGATAGGTTGTTTGAAATTGCTTTAGTTAAGGAAAAGAAGTTAATCTACTAAAAAAGCCAACAGTAAACTAATCAGAAAGGAATCAAGGTTCATTGGAAGCAAGAAGTGTCTAAAAGGGCAAATGAAAGTGCTGTAACAAATATGAAATCATAGATACAATTATATCAAATACAAATGTAATTCATGTAAAAAGTAGTAGTCACTAAAAAACTCTCAATTTAGTCAAAATTTTATTAATAAGATATGGCTTAAATTAATTAACACTTAATATTATTATTTATTACTATGTCTTAACTTAATTTGTCGTTTCTTTACATGCTTTTTCATTTTTTCTTTTCGTTTCTCAGCTTTTTCTTCTCTCACTTGCTTTTTTCTGGCTTTTTTCTCTTCTAAACTTTCATCTTTAGGTCGAGCAGAGTTCACAAATTTACTTTTTCCATCATCATCACCTTCTTCATCTTCACCTTGCGCAGAATCTTCGCTATTTTCATCCTGATCACTATCATCTTTTTGACTTTCCTTTTCTGAGTCTAATTTGGTACCAATTATGGTCTTATATATAAGATTTTCAACTTGATTGTTTGAATTTTTATGGTCCCTTTCGTAATGAATTACATCATTGAGTTGTTGAGGAATAAATGCGTTCCTAAACACTTCTTCTTCAATCTAAAGAAACAAAATTAAAATAATTCTTTGAATGTTTTTTTTCTTTGGGTTAATTAATTACCTGATCTTTTGCTGATGTACCAGAAATAGCTTTTTCTGCTGATTCTTCTGCTAATTCATCTAGTTTTTTCTCCATTTCTTCCTCATTCATACTTCCATCAGTAACAAATTCAAATAATTTAATCAAACTCAAAGTAGCTACATCAAACTTTTTAAAATAATCATTAATGTTTTTACAATCAATTTTTAAAAAATCTAAAGCTCTTGGATGATCATGCTCAACTGATTGTGAAACATCAATAATACACAATTCTTTCTTTTTTGTGTACAAAATGTTAAATTCTGATAAATCCCCGTGAACCAATTTGCATAAATTAAACATTTTCCACATCATGACAATAATGTCACGATATATTTCTCTAGCTTTTGATTGATTTAAAGGAGCATCTTTTAATTTTTGAGCTGGCCAGCCATCTTCACCAATAAATGTCATTACTAATACATTAGATCTTAAAAGAATTGGTTGTGGAACAATGATCCCTTTAGAATACAATCTTTGTAAGTTTCTCATTTCTTTTTCAGCCCAAGTCCCAACCATTTTTCTTGGATTTTGTTTACAATAACCATGTCTCCATCTAAATTCACCAGAAACATATTTATCACGTTTCTTAAATGTTAATATTGATGTTTTATAAATTTTTATGGCATATTGGCCTTCATTAGGACCCGTAGCATAATAAACATTAGCTTCTTTTCCGGTTGAAATACACCCATGTACTTCTGATATTAAATTAGTGTTTAATAATTTAAATAAAATCATTCGTACACGAGGATCCATAACCTGCTCAGAAGTAGCACGATCCTGTTTATCTTTACGACGAATTCGCTCGTCATCAATCTTTTTTTGAGACTCATTTATCTGATTGTTTACTCGATTTGAAATGTTGTAAGAATCAAAATTAAGTTTGTTCATGTATTTATGGAAAAGTTTGTCAGTTGGTTGATACTTTATATTTGATGTTTCTTCTTGAGTTTTTTGTGCTTTCTTGTCGCGATTTTTGATACTTAATGAGTAATCTTCTTCATTTGTATCATCTTCAGAGTCTGAACTGTATCCTATGTTTAATTCATTAATATCTTCGATAACTTCTTCTTTACAATCATCCTCCACATCACAATAAAGTTCGTATTCGTCCAATTCTTGTACACTATTCATTATGATTTTAAATAAACTGACACGTGAAAAAATTAGGTTATGTTATTTTGACATTGACAGTAATAAGTAATAAAAGAGATGTCTTATTTTGTACTAAATAATGATTAAGTTTGTAAATAAAACATATAAATGAAATTAAATAACTTGAGGATTTTAAAATTTAATAAAAATCCTATTTTTTAAAAGATTTTTTATAATTTAAATTTCGTATTGAAATTTTGTTTGAGTTCGGACATTCCTTTTGGGTACGATTAAAAAAAATCTGTCACCTGTCAAATTCATGTGTTTCTAACCTAACATTTTCATTTCAATTAAAACCATCAATTATTTAAAGATTTTAACAAATAAATAAAATGTTCGGGTTAAGAACTCGTACGTTAGCGTTTCTAAGAACAGTTAAAGATCATAAAGAAGCTGCACAAAAAACGGCTAATAATGTAGCGGCTAAAATAGACGCAAAGGTTAAAGGAACCATACTAGAAAAATGGATAGCCTATTGGAAAAATGTGTATAAAGATTACAAAGATGTAGCGGTGGACGTGACGACTGATTTGCGACAAAAACCGATGAAAGCCTTTGGTATATTTACTGGAATTGGACTAGCTACTTTCTGTGCAAAAATGAATCCGGACGCTACACATTTTCGAAATGATTATTTAAAAGCATGTAATGATTTGATATTGGTACATACAAGTTTGCAGAAACAAGTGTCGGCAGATCATTTAAAATTTATAGAACATTGTTATAATATTAAGGTTTTACGATATACAAATTTAGGCTTGTTTTCAATAGTGTGGGTGGACCAATTTAGTGATGCATGTAAAATTTTTGAAGCTGAGTGTCCTTATTTACAAATTGAATATGGTAAATTTTATGGTAGGGTTATTGATATTGGGTTTTTAAATACTTGGTGGATTTTAAGAAGCAAAATGATTGATTATGATATAAATTATTAATAAATTGTTATTATATATAAGTAAGTATTGTGTTTATCTTATTTTTTTTATAGTTAAAAAAAATTGGTATATAGTATTTGTTTATATTGGAATGTATTCAAATTGAATCTCGGTTAACATTCCAATAAATATTATTAAATGTGCTAAACCTGTGTTCTGTGCTTTTCAGTTAACTTTTGTGTAACAAAGAGTTTTTGGTGTACTTTTATGGATAAGTATTATTTTTTAAACTACATAGTTCTAAATAATAAATAATAGATATTAATAATTCAATGAAATAATGGTGAAGTATATTGCTAGTAAAATTGAGAAACATAGTTACATCATGTGCATAGATTGTACCAGTAACCTCAGAGAGCTCTCTAGGAGCAATAATGTTACTCTATGATGGGTTCCAGATCACAGAGAGGTCCTTCATTGGACCCCAACCCAGTTGTGGACTACAAAAAAAGCCAACTAAAACAAATAATCAACAGTTGGGAGGCCTCAAAGGTACGCTGGAAAGAACTTTCAGGTCACAGACAAGCGAAGAGATTTTATGCCTCAGCAAAGGGTATCTAAGGACGCTCTCAGGTTTCCTGACTGGCCATGCGGTCCCAAAATACTACCTCTTCCACATTGGACAAGCTGAGGATCAAACTTGTCGACTTTGCAACAACGAGTCAGAAACGGCTGAACATATACTGTGTAATTGTATTGCCAGAAGCCACTTAAGACAAAATTTTTGGTAAAGTTCTTTTGACACCTACCAACATAAAGGAACAAGACCTTGGAGCAATACTAAGGTTCTTCGAGGACCTACATTTGCCCTAAACTTTTGGAGGGCTGAAGTTACAATAGATGTAATAAGTCGCGGTGACGAAAGAGGCCGCTCCCCTCAGTCTGGCAGCAATAATAATAATGATACAGAAAAGCTTTTAGAACAAAAGTTGTAGCAAGTTTTACCCTTAACACGTTGCTGCGTAACACTTTTGCTCTCAGCTGCATCAGTATCGAGTAATATTCGAAAATATGAAAATTAGGAGAATTCGTAGTTTCACAAGTTGCTAATGGAAAAAATCGGTATTCCGAGTATGATACAGAAAAACTTTTAGAACAAAAGTTGTAGCAAATTTTATCCTTAACACATTACTGTGTAACACTTTTGCTCTCAGTTGTATTAATATCGAGAAATATTCGATAATATGACAATTAGCAGAATTCATAGCTTCACAAGTTGTTAATGGAAAAAATCGGTATTTCGATCATGATACAGAAAAACTTTTAGAACAAAGTTTGTAGCAAATTTTACCCTTAATACATTGCTGTGTAACACTTTTGCTTTCAGCTGCATTAATATCGACAAATATTCGATAATATGAAAATTAGAAGATCTAAGGTAGCGCTTAGGCTTCTTGAACGGCCATGCGCCCCTAAAATACCATCCCAAAGCTGTATCAAAGTCCTTCAAAAAATTCTCTTTTAGCACAATCTATACAAATCTTTTTGCTACATTCTAGGCATATTGACCTTTTACAACAAAAACACAAATAAGCAGTATTGGCAATCTGAGTTCGCGAGGTAGTCTTCGATTATATAACCGTTCTCGCATGTACGGTTCAACTAGGATCTTAGCTACAACTTTCATGAACTCCATTCTGGTTATAATGGATCTGTCCCGGTATCATTGGTGCAAAATGTAAGTATTTGTTGTACTCATGTCTAAGATTTTATCGCATCTTGTTGCCATTGGTCAACGACGAATTCTGCTACTTGACGAATATACACTACACTTCTGGTCCATGGAATCAACACCCCCTTTGGTATTGTTATAAAAAAATATTATCTCAGGTTTTTGGTTAGCAGAATCAGTCTCAATTGAATGGTGCATTGATGAAAGTCACAACACGGCTTTGCTTCTTTTAGGAACATACTACAATATTGTGAAACCTTTTATGAATTCATATAAAGGTGATCCTTCTATTTGCCTCTTACGCGATGGTAAAGTGTACCAATTATCTGTTGTAACATTGCGATTACTGCCATATATCGGACGGATCTTGTATTGGGTTGTCAAAAGTTTTATTATTGAAAATGCGTTCGTCGTCTTAATCTGATTTCTGTAAAGTTTGCTTGTACGTTTATTGAATTTGCAGAATTTGAAGTTCAGACACTATAACTAACAATTTTTGATACTCTTCGTCACTTCTTAGTTTTTTTTTGTAGTAGAAGATTACAATTTACTCTGTAAACATCTAAAAGTACATTGCATTGTATTGATACCAAATTATTGTAATGCATATGACCTGATAATTTAACTTCTCTAATACATTGCCTGCTTCTACTTTAGTATTATTTCCATGAGAACCCAGAAAAGACGTGTCTTCTACAATACAAAAATGTGACGGGACAAAAATGTAACGGGCCTGATCGCATTTATCCTACTTCCCCATCTCGTAAAACATACAGGTTTTAATGTTAAATTAGTCAGATGTTTGACAAGAATAGACTATTTATAAGTGGATGCAAAAAAAAAATTATACAAGCTTTGTATTATTCCAAAAGAAGTGACCATTTCTATACTTGTCTATTTCTCTCGGATTTATATTTGAAATATGTTTTTGTAGTCCGTTATTCTTACCTTTCTCCACTGTCGTAGCCCTGTCCTCTACAGTGGTAAATGTCTAAACCTAGCACTTTTATTGTGTCTAAAAATATAGATGCCAGATCAACTAATGTAGTTCAGTTACTTCAATAAAATCCATAAAATGTTCTTCCACCAAATACGTATTCTTTGATTCGGTGTTAACAAATCGAATTATTAATGGAAGTGACTTGTTTCCATGATTATAGAAAAAAAATTGGCTTTTTTGCCATTTCTATAATTTTCTTTCTAGTCATTTGTGCCAATAAACCTACTAAAATGGCAAATTTAATTCAATTGGTGTAAGAATAACTTCTGATAGTCGTGATGTGATTAATATCAGTTTTTTATGCCTGAGAAGAACGTGGTTTCGACCGCCCCTAATTTTAGCCGCTACAGGCGGCTGCCTGCTTCACCTGTACGTAGCGCCGCCACTGCCAGAGAGTAACTTGTTGTATAGTCTCCGATTTTTCTGGTTTTTTTTTATGACCCTCTGAAATAGTAGCAGCAGTAATTATCACCCTAAAAAAGTACCTGATCGTGATTTATGATAGGCTTTCCTAGCGAATTAAGTCCAGGGACGCACTTCTTTTTTTATTTTATTTCAATTTGAATTATTTAACATTTCTAACCAGCGATTGTCGTTAATTCAAGATTCTTCGTCAGTGTCATAATAACAGTTGTCACTTTCCGCGCATTCTAAGCTGTCGTCATCAGAAGAATCATCAACACTAATAATAAAACGCTGTTCATGTGGCGACACATACGAATCTTCGACATCTTTCACGTGTTTTATGCACTGCGACCACAATTCGGATGAAATATTATTACATTGCTCACGAATTATATTAATATTGTTTTTAAATATTATGTTTTTGTGATTTCCGTTAATGCGGACCTGAATAACTCACGCCGGAGTTTGGGGTTCGTCAACTACCTGTTTACAACCCCGTCTTTGTTCGTTATATGACTGCAATAAAGTCATAAAAACCACCAGAAAAATCGGAGACTATAACATCTCATCATCAAATATACAATTTCAAGCAGCAATTTTCTCGACTTTTGTTACTTTGAATTTTACGGTTGGTATTTTTACAATATTGTGGGCCGGTGTTCTTACATTTCTAGCAGCTGCAGTTGCTGACCATTTGAACCCGTTTCTTCCGTAGAAACACTTTTGTGCAACACTTTGTTCACTAATTGCTATATTATTTGGTTCTTCGTCGGTAGATTGAACAGAAACGGTATTATGTTCGCTTACAACACAATTTTCTTCATCTAATTGATCAGATAATTCCACATCCGAGTCAAGAGACTCATACATCAGCAAAACTTTACTTTCAAAATTTGCATCATCAAATCTAACACTAATTGAAATAGATTTTTCGTAACACACTAACTTCTCACCTCACGTCATCACTGCAAATATACAACCAAATACGCAAATCGCGTATTGCAATACCAATACTGTGATATTGGTTGCATACTTGCAATGATGATGTCGGGTACGATAATTAATTAACACACTGTATTGGTGTTAAAGTAAATATTAGTCGAGTGGTCCCAAGGAAGTCACAACGCCTGTTAAGGGTTAAACCAAATTAAACAACTTTTTAAGCATATATATAATTAATCACATAAATACTCTTAACTTAATTACAATAAATACATTATAAAATTTATTTTCCAATTGTATGATGAATTTCCTCTAAAAAGCTATGTGAATTATGTACAAAAGTCCCTCCCAAAATGATATGCGTTCCAGGATATTTCTTATTGAAAGAATGTACCGTCAATGATTCCTCATATGTAACTCCCCCAACCATAAAAACAATAACATCCTGGGGCCTTCCATTTGTATTATGCGCATTAACATACGGAAACATGTTTTCTTTCAATCTTCCTTTCATCAATTCCTCCAATGTTTCATGTAATAGCGGTTTATGTTGTGTATAAACGTTATCAACACCACTTAATCCTTTAAAAAATCTTTTTGTTATTTTCACAGCGCTTTCATCATTAAATAAATTGCTTTGTCGATTGCGAACTCCCGCGTATTCTAAAATATTTCGCACACTTTTTACGTAATAAGGAGCGACTCCGTTCTTTTCTAAAAGATGAATGAGCGTGGAAGTGTTATTATTGGAATGTGTTTGATAACGTAAAGCGTATAACATAACTAATTTAGCTGCATCGATTTCTCGAATTTTATTTTTATCGCCTCGCACGTGATTCGGTTTGATGTTATTGGTGATTAATTTTTTTATTGCTTGAAAATGAACGGATGAATCGTTATTTTGCGACGATATTTCCTGTTCTAATTCAGAAACGTCTAATAAGCTACAATCGGATACTAAAACTGATAATTCCCCAACGACAGTTACATGTTTAGCAACATTTCCTGAAAATTTACGAAATTGTGGGTATGATTCAACAAAGTTCTTCATATCGGCGATACTTTCAATTTTCTTGTGACTTTTTGCTTTACTTTGAAATACATCCATTAAACTTTTTATATTTTGACCAATTTCTCCAAAATTCATAAATATATTTTCAGCATAAAATGAATCTTGTTCTGCTGATAAAACAACTTCACTTAACTCTTTAGAAATACCTGGTACGTTTGATAAATTAACTCTGTTATTATTTATTGTTAGTAATTCGTGTACCATTGCTTGATAAGTCCATTGATTAAGCAGTGGGGTAACTGGATCATCCCTTCTATCAATAATTAATAAAACTGGTAAACTTGACTGGTTAAAAGAAAATAAGGTTGATTCTTTATTTATAACTTCTTCTAATTTATGGCTAAGTTCTTTACAAAACTTTGAATTTGCTTGATATCTAATGCAAGGATATTTCTTTAAAGATAACAAAACTGCAATTAAACCTTGTATTGTACGCTGTAATGCTGAATAATTCCAACCAGAATGTGCAACACACATGGGTAAACCAAACGAAAATAAATGTGGATTAATTGCTAAATAATCCATATACAATTCTTGAACTTCTTTAACTAATTCTTGCTCATCACTTTCAGCTAACATTTTTACATCAGCCTTTGCAATTATATTGCTTAAATATAAATAATACGCCCCATACTTAGGATTTCTTAATTCCTGACACAGCAATTCAATATTTTGCTGGGTTGGCCGGACAAAGACTAAACATTTAAGGAACCTAAATCCGCTTGTATTTGTATTTTGGCTCTTCGAATCCAATCTTTCAAGCAAAAACACTTCTTTTTGCTGAATTTCTGATTGACCATAAACCATACTTATTACGCTGGTTGTTTCTTTATCCATGAGCAAGATTTTCATTCCAGGTTCACTTTCTTCGGTCATTTTATTCACGTAGGCCTTTACGGCCGCAATCACGTTCATTTTGGACGATTTTTATGATTATTTATGTTTAATGTTTAACCACTTTTCCATGACACATAAGCGATTTCGATTGACTAAAATAAAAATCAAACTTTTATAAACTCAAAAACTAAGTTTGAATGTACGAGAAAAATTGTTTAAATAAAATTTTTTGTAACATTAATCGATTAAAAAATAGAATTTTAAAGTATCAAATTTAAAAATTGCATAAAAACAGTGGTAAAGAAACGTTCAATCGAACCACTCCTATATTGATATTTTCACTCTAAAAGTTTATGGTAGATGGCGTTAAATTAAACGTCAAAAGATTAACCTAAAAATTACCACAAGATTTTTCCAAAATGGTTATTTATGAATTATGTTTGTTATTTCGAATTATGCCAAAGGTAACCTATACATTTTCTAATCGCATATTTTTTTAAACAACGTTTTTATCAGAAAGAGTTAACAACATCATTAAAACGGACTGCTAATACTATATTTGAAAAAGGTGGTGTTATAAGAAAAATTGAAAATTTAGGCACCAGGGATATGCCTCATAAGCAAAGTGCGCATGGGGTTGTATATAAACAAGCAAGGTATAAAAAAATCGTTTTGTTTAATTCTTAATGATAACTTAATGAGTTTATTATAGTTATTTTATGATCGAATTCAACGCCCCACCTAAAGATTTAGCAGATATTGATGAACAATACAGTAGAGACATAGATATAATTAGAAGGCGTATATACAAAAAGCAAAAAGAGGAATCTATTGAGTGTACATTACACGAAGAAATGTTACCTCCTCTTTATAGAAAGAGTGTGCAGGAATTGGTGCAACAAGCCAGAAAATTAGATAAACCTAAATTCAAATATAATTCTGGATTAGATTATTATCCTTTCCAAAAATAGATGTTCTTATTTTAATAATTATTAGTAGAAATAAAAGTTTGAAAAAATTTTTTTTGACATTTGAAATTAACCTCACATTTTATAAGCATGACCTAACCTCAAAATAAACTTTAAATAAAAGATTTTTATTATGTTTAAGTTACTTAAAACATTGAAATATTTAAACAATATAAGGAAGTACTGTAACAACAAAGCTAAAGGGAAAAACGCGCTATATTCTCATACTGTTTTGTTACCAAAAACAAAATTTCCTCTTCGAATTGAAGGAAAAAAGCTTGTGGATCGTGATAATGCAATTAATAAGGTATAACCCCCACATAACTCCAATTAATAAATAATTTTAACTTGTCCTTAATATTTAGAGTTCATCATTTGTAAATTTATATAACTGGCAAAGAAATAATTTAAAAGGAGACGAATTTATATTACATGATGGACCACCATACGCAAATGGGGAGACTCATATAGGTCATGCGATAAATAAGGTTTTTATATTAAAACTAAAAAGATTCATGTCTATTCTTAAACTTAATTTGTAGATATTAAAAGATACCATAATTAGATCAAACATCTTGGAAGGGAGGAAAGTTCATTATGTGCCAGGTTGGGATTGTCATGGATTACCTATTGAGTTAAAAGCCGTTTCAAATTCTCAAGGATTAAAGCCTATTAAGATAAGAGAGAAAGGTTTTTATAAAAATTCGAATTAAAACAATAATAATAATATGTGATGTTTTAGCAAGAAAATTTGCAACAACTACTATAGAAACTCAAAAAAAATCTTTTATGTCATGGGGAGTATGTGCTGATTGGGAAAATCCATACAAAACGTTTAATAATGAGTACATAAAGAATCAAATACAACAATTTTATAAATTGTATGAAATGAAATTGGTTTATAGAGATGTTAAACCTGTTTATTGGTCACCGTCAACTCGGTTAGATTAATAATCTAAATAAAATGACTATCTTATTAATAATAAAAAAAATACTTAAATAATTTTAGAACAGCTCTTGCAGAAGCCGAACTTGAATATAAAGATAACCATAAAAGTACAGCAATCATAATTAAACTAAAATTAAATCAAATTCCAGATGTTTTAAAGGAACACAAAAAGTAATTTTTATTCTAATTACATATTTTTATTTAAAATTTATTTTTTAGTATATTTGCATTAATATGGACAACAACTCCATGGACATTGCCAAGTAATCAAGCTGTTTGTTACAACCCAAATTTATCTTATTCATTAGTTCAAAACCAAACATCTTTAGAACATTATATACTTTCCACTAAACTTATAGAAGATGTTTCAAAAAAACTTGGATCAGAATTAACTGTTCTTAACACATTTCAAGGTGATTATTTTTGGGATATGTTTTTATTTAATTATATTAAAAAGATTAAGTATCTTAGGTTCTGCATTTGAAAATACAACATATTTTCATCCTATTTATAAAAACAAAGAACTTAGTTTTTTGCCATCAAACCATGCCAGTGAAACAAAGGGAACTGGTTTAGTTCATACTGCTCCAGCCCATGGTCCTGATGATTTTTTAGTTGCTTTGAAGAATAATTTACAAATAGTAAGTAATTTTGTCTTTAGTATGCAAGGTAATTTCATAAAGGATGGGTAATTTCTGATTTGGAGATGGTATATATGACATACAAGTGTATTTAATAAAATGTGTTGAGTCATTTCTGGTATTCTTGCCTGTTTTTGGCTAAGTTTTTTATTTGTCGCATCATATTCCCTTTCTTTCTGGCTGCTTTCTCTTTATTATCCTCCCAGGTTTTACAAGGTCTTTATTTTCCTCTAGGCCTTCTTCCCATTATCCTCATCTCCTTGATTCTCTTTGAGTATCTGTCATTGTTTATCCTTCTCAGGTATTTGTACCAATGAAGTTGTTCTTTCTCTATTATTTGTACTATGGGATCCTGCTCTAGTTCTGCTCTTGTTTTTTTTGTATGTGAGTACTCTAATGTTGTTCTCTCAATCTTCAGGTATTTTCTGTGCGTTCCGTGTGTATCTGTTCCTCCCTTTTTGAACATTTCTGGTGTTATTCTATCCTCCCCCGGCGAATTGCCGTTTTTTACTTTTTTTATTTCCTCTCCCGTTATAGATTCCTGTGTCAGTTCTTACTCTATGTTCTTTCTTCTTCTGCTATGTCCTTTGTTCGTCTTCTATGTTTTCATTCTCTGTTTGGCCCAAAACTGTCTGCATAATGTTCTCTCCAGGCTTCTAGGATTCCTTGTGTTGTTTCCAAACTTTTTCTTTTATTTTTAATATGTATTTCTGATTTCTTGGGACGAAGTATTTTTAGTCTTTTTATCATATTCCAGAATTCGTTGTAATTGTCGTTGTAGTTTTCCTGTATTTTTCTTCCTGACTTCCTCCAATGCAGAGTTTCTTTTCTTTGACCTTTCTTTTTACGGCCTTGTTCCATGATTTGGTTCGTTTCGTATTAGATCCCTGTCTTATCATCTTTACGCCGTATATTTCCTCCGCCACATCCAAGATTGTCTCGTTCCATGTCTCCTCCAAAGTCCATGTATTTTGTTTGAGCGTTTCTTCTTCCTCCTCTACTCTTTCCAATTTCTTTGTGAGGGTATCCTTGTATGTTTGTCTCAGTTTCATATTATTTAAAGTATGTAATTTTGTCGTCGCGTGGATTGTGCTCCTTTTTTGACTTTTGGCTATTTGTGTCAGCTGTTAGTTTATGTTTGATACAGAGTTCCGCTTCTCTGATCACCTTGATATCCATAACTGGTTAGTTTAGGCTTTTGGAATAAACAATATAGTCTATCATGCTTTTGTGTCCTAGTTCCTCTGATTCATATGTTGTTTTGTGGATGTTGTATGGGAATTAGGTGTGTTCTATGAGCATCTGATTTACTATAGAAGTATCCATCATCATATCTCCATTGTCGTTTATCTCTCCCTGTATTCCATGTGATCCCATTGTTCCAGTTCATTCTTCTCTGTCCTGTCCTATATGAGCATTTCAGTCTTCTAATATTAATATATGTCTATTTTTATCTTGCAACTTTTCTATTGCTTGTTATAAATCCTCGTACAGCATATCCTTATCTTGCTTGTATGCATTCTCTGTATGTGCATATACCTGTATAGGTCCTACTTTCTTTTCCTATTGTAGCTCTAGTGTTATGATTCTTGATTTTTAGAACTTTAGATCTATTATTAAACACACTGCCGGGAAGACCAAAACCTTTGTATTATAGAGTATGATTAATATTCGGTGAAGACTTCTACATTTCCTGAGATATTTCCATATCTGAGGAGCTAGAATCAATTCTGAGTTAAAAAAGGGTGTCATTTACCTTTTATCGGTTCTTATCTATAACTATCCTGCCTAATTATGGAAAAGTGTAGGAACCATTAATTTATAACACATTCTATTGCCACATCCAATCCTTTATTTTCCCTACCAACAAGGCAGTGGATGGTTACTTCTAAGCCCATAGAAGTATTTATTGACTTGGATTCTCCAATATACGAAACTGTTAAGCGTCTGTATCTTGTCATCCCTAACTTCATATGTTCTAGTATGTTTCCAGCCTTTGATGGTAGCAAGTTGATTTTTGTAAATGTCACCTTTAGAGTTGCCTAATAACTCGATTCCCAGTGTGGGCACTACCTTTTACGAAATTAAAGCGGCCAGAATTAGAAATTAAACTTTAAATAAAGATTACTGGTGAAAAGTTACGAAAATCTGTCGTGTTGACCACAAATAGCCTTTTCAAAATGGCCAAATGAAGGTTACAAGGGTATATAGCTGCGTCAAAAAGCGAATTGAAATGCGGTATTGGTTTCGATGACTTGGTTATGTTTCTTATTTAGGCCATGATTCTGCTGGGTGCGATGAGCTGACTTAAAGAAAGAAGGAACTCCTGCATTTTATTAAGACCAGCCTGAAAAGTGGCTAAAACTGTTTTCTGTATCGTGCATGCAAACCACACTTCAGGATCTGGTGTGTGCAGAAATTGCAAAAACGCACAGAAAATTCATTGTAATATAAGTGAACACACAATTTCGTGTATGTTCGACTTCGGAACGATTTCGACGATTTTTTTCCAAAAATTAACAATTAATCAACACTCACGTATTTGTTTCCAATTCAGAGTTTCCCCATTCTTTATGCCACTTTGTATAAAAATTTCCTTTTTTGCTAAAATGTTATTTTTTAACTTTGTCCAAATAGATATCTTTGGTAGATGAAGACGGAAAATATTTAGATTCAGCTGGTTCAGAGTTAACTCAAAAATACGTTTTTGCTGAAGGTTTAGACACAGTTCTAAATATGACTAAAAGTGATACGTTAAATACTGAAGACTTCATACACAGTTATCCTTATGATTGGAGAACAAAATTACCAGTTATAATAAGAGCTAGTAAACAATGGTTTATTGATACTAACAGAATAAAACAACAGGCTGTGGTATTGTTATTAAAAAAGAGTCGTATTTAGGATTCTGAATTAATATTGTTTTTAGGATGCATTAAGCAATGTTGAAATTCTTCCAAAAATTAACAGTGAAATGCATAAACAACATTTTAAAAATCAATTACTTAAAAGACCATATTGGTGTATTTCAAGACAAAGATGTTGGGGAGTGCCCATTCCAGTATTTTATAACAAAGAATCTGAAGATGTCATAATATCAAAGTAATTAATGATGTGAAATTGAATCCTTAGTTTAAATTTTACTATTTTTTAGGGACACCATAAATCATTTTTGTAATTTAATTGATAAACATGGCTCAAATTTTTGGTGGAGTTTACCTGAAAAAGATATCGTACCCGAAAGTATTTTAAAAAAACAATCTAATATTAAAAAAGGAGAAGTAATTAATTATTTTTTATAAAAAAAATATGTTTATTAATATTTTTTAGTAGGATATTTTAGATATTTGGTTTGATAGTGGAATATCTTGGTCTAGTGTTTTACCAAAGGATAAAATCGCCGATATTTATTTAGAAGGAGTAGACCAATTCACAGGGTGGTTTCAATCATCACTTTTAACTTCTATAGCTTTACAAGAAAAAGCACCTTTTAAAACCATTTACGTTCATGGTTTTGCTGTGGATGAAAATGGATTGAAAATGTCGAAATCTTTAGGAAATGTTATTAACCCCCAAGATATTTTAGAAGGTTGTAAATCTCATAAAGCATACGGAATTGATACATTAAGGTGATACAATATCTTCAATAAAAAATTTCAATAAATAACCAAAAATAATAATTTTTTAGATGGTGGGTTGCTTGTCATGCAAATCAAGACACAATAACCGAAGTGAGTTCGAATGTTTTACAAGCTAGTAATGATGAAGTACAAAAAATACGAAGTGTTTTGCGATTTGCTCTTTCTACATTAAGCGATTATAATGGGGAAATTGTTGATTATGAGTCATTGTGCTTAATTGATAAGTTTATGTTACATGTTTTATTACAATATGATCGACAAGTAAGTGAAATTTTCTTAATTATAAAGAATTTTTAAATTAAATCTTAAAATTATTTTGTAGGTAACAGAACATTTAAAATTCTATCAATTCAACAAAATCGGTAAATCCATAATAAATTTATTAACAAATACGGTATCAGCACAATATTACACAGCAGTAAAAGATCGTTTATATTGCGAACCAGAAAATTCAATTAGTAGACGATCATCTCAATTCGTCTTATTAAATCTATTTTTGATCACATTGAGAAGTATATCACCGATTGTACCGCATTTAGCTGAAGAACTCTATTTACATTTTCCATTGAAACAAGCAGATTCTTTTTTTCAAACTGAAAAAGCACGCGTGGACCCCAAATGGGAATCTTTAGAAATTGAAAATGTGATGAACGTAATTTTTGATTTGAAGAAAGAGGTGAATAAGACTGTTGGGGCGAATACTGTGAATAAAAGAATTGTTATTGGGTTGGATGAAGAATTAAAAAAGGAGGTTGAGGTAAATAATTATTGTTAATAATTTTTAATTGTTTTCAATAAGTGCAAAATACTATAGATAGAAGATATTATTCAGATAATATTAGATAACTTAAAATGAATTATTAAGTTATACTTTACTAAATAATATGAAAAGTGTAAATACAAGGAGAGGTGCAAAAGGATGTACATAAACACATATATAGAATTAGGTTTACTCTTCAATCCGTTTGTTGCAGTGAGAATAACTAAAAAATCCTTTAATAACGTCCACAGACGTTTTGGCAGGGCGGCTGAAGGGCTACAGTCCTCAAGTCATAGAGACTATATTAGTGCGTCATCTCAATAACGCATCATGCTAACTGTATTGATCCTTCATGTACCCCATATTTAAAGATGTTATCCTTCCTTTATGATTTTATCCATTAGGAGATTAAATAGAAACAGGATAAGAACGTCTTCCTGTCTAATACCTCCTGAGGGAATAATATTATCCATTGTTTGATTTCCTACTGTTACTATAGTTGTGTTGTTCATATTCAACTCATATATTATCCTTATTATGTTAGCAGGCACGTTCTGTCTTTTAAGATAGTTATAATGTTCGCCATACACGGACCTTGTCAAAAGCTTGATAAGATGTACAAAGCAAATGAATATAGGTTTGTCAGACTCAATGAACTTTTCCTTTTTCTATTTCTATTCCAAAACCTTGTTGTTCTCTAGTTTTTCTTTGAGAATGCCTCTATAATTTTTATGGACGCGTTTTTTCTCTTTCCTTTGATACTTTTTAATCATGAAAATTTTTTATAAACATTTCTGATAATTTCTTGTGGCCTCCGCACATTAACAACTCGTTGTTTATGTTATAAGTTATAATTCACAAAGTTTATCACAGTTGCTCATCCTAGGGCAATTTCTGCGTCCCATTTCAAGTCGCTACTTTCGCTTAGATTTTGCTGAAGGTGTATGGGACTTTACAGGATGTATCTAAAGGGGTGATTTTTCAACGAAAATTAAGGGGGGTCTTTCATATAACTTTTTGGTCAAAACCCCTTCTCCTCCAAGTTATAGCCCTCTAAAATTAAGGGTAAAAATCTGCAACTTTCTTATCTCTTGACGTTTTACAACTAACAAATTACTAGTTTGATCACAAAAAATAAAATAATGCTGAGATCAATTTGGCATAACTTCATTTTTTTGACTAATAATAACCAATCTCTGAATTAATTCACCTGAGCCTGTGTATTGTTTTATTTTTTTTGTGATCAAACTAACAATTTTAGGAGAAAATGTCAAGAGATAAAAAAGTTGCGTATAGAATCCCACTATTTAAATCAAGTTTTTAAATAGAAATAAGTAGACGTATTAAAAAGTTCTAATGCAAAGTATTATGGGGTTGATTTTTTCAGCCTCTTGTAAAACATATTAGGGTTATAAAAATCGTCAAAAAATTTCACCTTATTAGTAATAGTTATCTGCCAAATTTCATTCTTCCAAATTCCTCCATAGTGGATTTAAGGTGAGTTTAGACATGCATGGATTTAGTGGCGCCAATAAAAACTGGCGCGTCAGTAAAATTAAATTGCATGTGTAAACATCAACTGGCATGCAAGTTGAAATCATGCATCATCGGAAAAGTCTGCACCCTTCTGAAATCACTGGCATCAGTGATGACAAATATGTGCAGCAAAACAGAATTTGCGCGTGTAAGTAAATGCTTCCACATCGGCTCGCCAGTTTTTAGTTAGATTTTCGTTTCGGTTGAGGTTCTAATTTGTGTTTATTGTAGTTTATATAGTTTATTATGACTCAAAAAAAATGGTCAGCAGAACTGACAATCAAATTTCTTGAAGGCTATGATCTTATCCGTGTTTATGTGATGTATGTACAGGGTGTCCCAATTTCGATGTCCGCATAGGCTAATTCCGAAACTAAAAGAGATAGAAAAAAAGTAGCTTACATGTCATGATCTCGATTTTCCAGAAAATGCTAATGCCGAAAACTCCGAAAAGCTATCGTCTTTTGTTTTCGCCCTATCGGCAAAAACTGAAAATTTTGCGAAAACGACAGTCGCGAATATCTCACTTATTATCAAAGATGGAGTATTATAAATAAAACATTATATGGGCAAAATTGGTTAATGTTGCTATAGTGATAACCATACATACTATGATGAAAAATAATGTATCAGATAATTATCAAAGTTTATATTTAAAAATTCGCTAACAACTCTGGCATTATGTGCTGGTGTGGAGCATCAGCATGTTAAGTGTCAAAGTATAACAAAACTGAATAAAACTTTACAATGAATTTCGAAAATTATGAAAAATGTAACATGATGGAATGCTATATGTTATCAGATAAGAATGCGACGTTAGCCGCGGAATTTTATTTCACAAGATATCCAGAAAGAAGACAACCGCACGTAAGAACCTTCAGCCGGTTAGCAGAAAATTTAATAGATATTTGGTCCTTCCCCAAACCACATACAAAAACATACCAAAATGACCTGCAAGAGAAATTGCAACAAGACGTCTGACCCAAAAGCCGCTGCTCCCGAATATGAAAGAAAAATAAGTATAAACCATACAAAGCGGGGCTAACTCATTATTTACGTGCCGGAGATGTCAATCGAAGATTAGAATTTTGTAGATGATATTTAAAAAAATTAAATAATCTGCTGTTTGTTCAAAATGTTATCTGGACCGATGAAGTCTCTGAGTGTTCAAAGAAGATTGGGGTTCAATGTATGGTGTGCCCTTTTAGATAATAGAATTTTGGCATATAGTATCTACCATAAAAACTTAAACTCAGGGAAATACCTCAATATATTAAGGCAGCACATTGAGCCTTTGGTCGACAATTTGCCACTAAATATGTCTCAAATGATATATTTTCAATATGACGGAGCACCAGCACATAATGCCAGAGTTGTTAGTGAATTTTTAAATACTACTACAAACTCAAGGACAGTAGAATCTAACAGGACTGCTACATCCATTGTTGTGACAGCCTACCCGCAAACTACGTCACACCATTTTCCACGCCCAGCTGTTGTTATGGTCTATGCGTTTGCTGTGTGTTTTTAGAGGTTATATCCTAGACGTATTCATATTAGTTTTGAAGTTTTATGTTTTTAGACGTATTAATGTCTATCATATAACCTCTAAAAACATAGACAGTTATCAGGCGTGGCAAATAGTGTGACGTAGAGTGCGGGCAACCAACCCGTAGTCGACTACAAAAATACAATGGATGTAGCAGTCCTGTTAGATTCTACTGTCCTTGCTACAAACTTTGCCAATAATTGGAAACAATGCTTTCCCTCATGGTATGGTTATCACCATAACAACATTAAGTTTTAAATACATACAATAGTTTTAGAAAGAACAAAAAAAATTGATACATTATATTCCATCATAGTATGTATGGTTATCACCATAGCAACATTAACTTTTAAATACATACATTAGATTTAGATGGAACAAAATGAATTTTTGTTAATTATTCAATAACTATAAGAAATATACCCCACAAACTATATATATTTGTTATCAGAAGAAAATAACAAATTATTTTAAGTCATAGCCAACTATGGTTTCCATTTAAAAAAATAAAGTTACGTCTAAAATCTCGAAAATAAAAGATGGGAAAAAAATTCTACCTACGCCACTGAATTCTTCGTAAAAAGTTGCCCATATAATGTTTTATTTATAATACTCCATCTTTGATAATAAGTGAGATATTCGCGATTGTCGTTTTCGCAAAATTTTCAGTTTTTGCCGATAGGGCGAAAACAAAAGACGATAGCTGTTCAGAGTTTTCGGCATTAGCATTTTCTCGAAAAACGAGATCATGACATGTAAGCTACTTTTTTTCTATCTGTTTTAGTTTCGGAGATAGCCTATGCGGACATCGAAATTGGGACATCCTGTACATAGTAGTGCTTATCAGAACACAATCCAGATGAGTATCAAAATTTTGTTTTGTCATTCGTAGATGATTTTTATAGCTTATATACTGCTGCGAGTTCTCGTAGAAGTTTTGCAAAAGCACCCAAAATAGGTCGACGTGGTTTAACCCAGAAAAGACCTTTCCGTCGTTTCCTTTTCTGTATTTCTTCTATCTTTTTTTCCATTAAAAGTTTAGCGACTGTTTTTCATACTTCGGAAAAATGAAACTGTCGTGTCACTTATTTTTGCTTTCACACATGTAGTGTAAACCTTTACTAGCGTGCAAATAGAATTGTTTTCTTAAATTTTTAAGTTTAATCTGACAAAATTTATTATGTTTTGTGAGAAACATTGTTTACCTTTGTACTTATTTATAATTACATCTATCATATTTCATTGTCTTACTGAAAATTTCCTAAAATAGTACTAATTACAATAATATAGTAATTTTTGATTTCATTTTAGAAATATACGCTCGGTAATGGTGAGTTATTGGATATTTTGCAAGTTGCTGAAATAGAGCTTAATACGAAACTTGATGGAACATCAATTGAAGTTCATGATACCAAGCTATGTTGTTGTCCAAGATGTAGAAAGTTTGCTTCTTCAATGTCTGATGCATTATGTAAGAGATGCAATGAAGTTATTAATGGTTTAGAAAATAAAGCACAACATGTTTTATAGAATATTCATTTATTTCCAACTAGAATTACACGTAACTATTTAATAGTTTGCTGCATTTAGAACTAAACTTAAATACTACATTTTATTAATAAAAAAACATAAAAAATATGAAAATGAACAAAATGAACATAATTATTTTTTTTTGCCTTTTTTTGCCAACATATATTTGTGTATGTCCAGTATGTTTGTAAAATTTTCATAGGCTGTATCACTTGCTTCACTTGATTCATCAATCGCTCTTTTTCTGCGTTGGGGAACAACGGGTTGTTTAAAATTTACAATTTGCTTCTTCAAATTATGTCTGATGGTCATTTTATCCTTTAATTTTTTGGCAAAAACATCACATTCAACCAAATTAGCTTGGTAAGTAATATTTGCTGTTCTCTCCACTTTAACTACTTCTCCAATTTTAATATTTAGATCTTTGGTTAGGTTTTGTATCATATCCAATTTTTCAATCACCTCTTTCTTCTTATTTTCTTTTAAACGATTTTGATTGCTTGTAAATTCTTGGAATTCCTTGTCCATTTGTACAATTTTATCATCAATTGATCTCTTTAAATTTACAATTTTTTGATTAACAAATGGTATATCTTCATCATTAATAAACGGTATTGTAGCTAATAAATGTTCTAAATCCGCAACTTGTCGTTTAAATTCATTTATTGAGGTACTTTTTAATAAGATTTCATCGAAAGTTGCTTTCGTCTCCATTTTACATTTAGCAATTTGAGATGTGTCTTTATTTTTTAAAGCTTTCGCTTGATTACAAGTTTTATTAAGAATATCTGTGCTATTGTCAATCTCGGAATTTAATCGAAAATGTTCCTAAATACAAAAGATTAATTGATTAAAAACTTGACTTGAAAAAAATTGATTTAATACCTCTTGTAAACATTCTCTTACAGCTTTTTCTTTGCCAATTTCAGACTCTAAGAGTGAATAATCTTCCTTAAATTTATTTACGCATTCCTCCAAGTTTGTAACTTGAATGTCATGATTTCTTTTTTCATCAATAAGACATTGAAAGCTTTTATCTTCCTGCAATCTTGAATTATCTGCTTCAATTGCAGATATTTCGCTTTGAGTTTTTTGTATATAATTCTTTACATTTAACTCAGCTTCAATAGATTCGTCCAAATTCAATTTTACAACATCCAATCTAGAAAATATGAAAAACAAAATATTCCATTATAACAATAAAAACAAAATATCATCAAAAAATAATATTAATTAGAACATACTCAAATTTGCATTGATTCAGATTTTTTTCTAAATCTGTAGTTTCAACATCACCCTCACCAATTTCATGGTTTAAAGTAATTACACATTGTTCTAAATCATTTAAATCAGATTTATTTTGTCTTAAATCGTTGTCTTTCTCGTTTTCTTCATTAACCAATCTAGCAATCTCTGTTTCTTCTGTTTTTGTATCTCTATAATCATTATCAATATCATTTTTTATTTTACAATATGTATGATCATGTTCATTTCGTTCGTTTGCTTCAGAAACCTCTAAAAAATTTAATTCCTCCTTAACAATATGCAATTCTTTGTCCAAGACAGAATTTTCTTCCTTATTTTTTGCCTCCTTCTCCTTAATTTTATGTTCAATTGTAAAAGCCAAATTATCGAGCTTGATTAAAGTTGTAAAAGTATCGTGAGTTCCTTGGCTGATTTCTTCACATGTAACTTGTAAACTGTTAATTCCTTTTTGCAAGTTTGTTTTGTATACTTCAACTAACTCGCTATGCTCATAATGTTTAGCAACAGCGGATTCCAATACTTTCAATTTTTCGGATTTATTATTGATCGATTCTTGAATGCTTTTTATTGTATTGGTTTGTAATCGTAAATACTGAATTATGTTTTGCTAAGAAAATAAATTGTGTTAACATTTATTAATTAACATTTACAATTTTACCTCGTAATCCGTTAAACGTTTAAAAAGATCGATCTGGCAATGATTTAATGGTGGAAGAGGAAACCGTTTTACGTTTTTCTTATCCATTTTGTACCACTTTAAATCAGCACCTAAATGGGAATTTAAGACGATGAAATTCTAGGGAACTAACGTACCGGCAAGTGTCACTTTTAGTAAACTTTCGAAAAAGATTTTTATTATGGATATTTAAGTAAGATAACAATATAATTTTAAATCCTTAAAAGTACCTGGGTATAATTTCAGCAAATTTACTGGATTTTTACCAAAATGTTTGCTATTATCATAAATAAAAATTTTAAACTAGCAATCTGTCAATCACTCACGCTTATAGAAACTGAACTGAAGTTATATGCAAAATAAAGACGATTTAATAATTTTTAATTACTTTATTCATAGTTATTAAAAAATTGTATAGATTTGATTTAGTTAATTTTTAGAAAGTGATTTTTTACGTATTTATAACTTAATAATTTAACATAAAAAATCAAATGACTCCCACTACCAACATTACTTGTGACGTCATTAAACAAATTTTAATTGTGGTCCATATAGGTTATGTGAGGTTATGTCCATAAATTTTAAAAATGTTACGGAATTCCTATAAATTGGTATCGCAAATACGCCCAATATATTTAACACCCGTAAGTTTGTAAATACTACAATTTTTTTTGTTATTTCTTCATATAAATTTATAAGATCCAAAAGTTATCATCAACAAATACGAGTAAAACCGATGGGACTGATGGTACAAATCTTATTAACAATGAGAAGAAAGATATTAGCAAGGCAATGAAAGCTTATTTAGAAAGGGCTACGGAACACAACGAATTTATGAAGCAACAAAACTATGAATTTCAAATTGGTAAACGACACTTGGCTAATATGATGGGGGAAGATCCAGAACATTTTACACAAGATGATGTAGATGTAAGTTACATATTTTATTTTAGTAATATCAGTCTGTTATTATTATCATTTTTAGGAAGCAATTCGGTACTTATTTCCATCTGGTTTGTATGAAAAGAAAGCAAGACCTATGATGAAACCTCCCGAAGAGGTTTTTCCACAAAGGAAAGCTGCTGAATTTGATGAGACGGGGCGACCTTTCCATTTCTTGTTTTATACAGGAAGACCAAATTTCTATAAACTGCTATATGTAAGTTATAACTATTTAATATATTTTTTTTCTAAGATGTTTCTAAAATTTTTTGTTAAATATCACAGGACATAGTAGAACATATAAATCAAACTTACAAGTTTGAAGATGCAATGATACGAAAAAATAAAGTTTCAGATCCTCAACTAGCAATGTAAGTTTTTGTAAATTTTTCAAATACAGTAAAACCTCAATATAGCAGATTAATATGGGGAAGGAAATGTCCATTATAGTTAAAAATTCTATTTTTTTGAAATTTTAATGCACACAAATTCGAACAGTTGCGTTCTTTATTAGTTACTTCTACTTCTAGTTCAATAAAAATGTATAATAATCAAGAAACAAGATTACTATATGAATATCACATTAATAAAGAACTAGAAAGTGTTACCAATACAAACGACACCAACAAGCATTGGTTTTTCAAACTAGGGGGCGTAACGAATTACTCATCTAAGCACATGCCGCGATAGTCTCAAACCCATCTGCCCACTTGGGTTGGAAAATGTTGAAAAAACCGGTTGTCCATACTTCACGCTTACTCTTCTTCTTTAGACTTTGGTATTTCTACAATTACGTGTACGTTTTACTTCGACACGAGCTCGACTAAAAAACGTAAAAGTGCGTTAGAGGATAAACCAAACGAGTTTTTTGCTGCCAAATCTACAAGTTTGAAACGCATAAAATTGTATTGGTTCTAAGTAATATCAACAGAAACCCTAAATAATTTACCTTGACAAGTATTATAAAAAAAAAGAAAATAGCACTGGACCTTTGAAAAAACGCTTAAAGCTTCGTATAAATGCAAAAATCAAGAAAAGCCACATTATTAGCAAAACAGTTATCAAACCTTGCGTGTTAAAGGCCGCTGATATCCATCTTAGACCAGAAAGTAAATACAAATATTCACAAATACCGCTTTCTGACAATACTGTGAAACATCGCAATGTTAATATGATCGCAGACATAAAAATTTAGGTAATAAGGTCGTGAAAGAATCAAAGTTTTTCGCAACGCAGTTGGACGAGATTACAGGTGTTGCACATTGTTGTCAATTGCTAGATTTCGTTCGATATATATATAACGAAACAATCAAAAATGAAGTGTTGTTTTCTACAGAGTTAACAACAACATTAAAAGCAGTTGATATAATGACAGCTATCTTTGAATTGTTTGACAAACATGAACTGTCATGGCAAAACTTGATAGGCATATTATGCACAGACGGCGCTCCTGCAATGCTTCACTCGTTCAGGATTCTTACAGTTGGTGAAAGAACAAAATTATCCTAATGTAACAGTTATTCATTGGTTTATACACCGTCAAGCTTTGGCGGCTTTCAAACGAATGCACCGATGTTAAACACCCGACTTTTTACGGTCTTTTGCGAAGATTTGGGCAGAGAACATAAAACATTATTATTCCATTCGGAAGTGCGCTGGCTGTCGAAAGGAAATATGTTAGCAAGGTTATATGAGCTTCAAGATGAAGTAATTTTGTTGTTAAAAACCCAAAAAGAAACTGAACTCTATGTTGAATTTAGAAAACTGTCCTAGCAGTTTTGGCTTATTTATCGGCTATTTTCAATTCGTTGCATTCCCTAACTTGAAATTACAAGGTGGAGACTCGAATATAATTTATCATTGAGATGCCATCACGACGTATATTGAAAAATTGCAACTTTGGAATCGCAAAATTTTAGCATGCAATTATTCGTGCTTTCCTAAATTATTTTCAATCTCAAAAGAAGCGTGTTTTAAGATTTATTCGTGTGTTTTCTACAGTTATAGCAATAAAACTGAAATATAGAAATAAGCTTAATATTGCTAGTGATCGACGTTGTAGGCTTTCTTCTATTCCACCTAGAATTGCAAATCTGGTCAAAAGAATGCAAGCTCATCCATGTCATTGATTGATTTGTTCTTAACGTATGTGTGTGAAAATAGTATTCTATTGTAATAAAACTCTTACGAAATATGTATGTTTTTTGTAGTTATATTATTATATCTATTACAAAATTACCGCAAGGGAGGCGTGCTATTTTGATTTTCGGTAGTAGGGAGGCGTGATAAATTAAACTTTGGTTTCTAAAAGCTTGGTTAGATCTTAAACAAGCTGTTACAACTTCGAACGAAAAATTTCTCACAAAGAAATAAACCACAGCTAATATCGAGTGGATATTATGTTATACAGGGTGTGTCAAATGTCTGGAATATAGGAAATAACTTTGCCATTTGTGGTTTTAAAGAAAAATGATTCAAATAAAAAATTCTTTATTAATTGTGGCGCATTTTTTGGCGATACTTGCTTGTTTACATTGTTCTTTGTTTCGTTGCTATGGCAACCAACAGCTATGCTGATTTAATATTTTCAGAGAGCGCTTTTTTTCTCGATTTTTTTCTAATACAACCATATGATTTGATATGTTCATCGCGTAGAGGGACTTATCCTCTATCAAAGTATGTAAAAGAAAACATATACATCCCATTTAAAATAACAATGTTGGTTGCCATAGCAACGAAACAAAAACAATACAAACAAGCAAATATCGCAAAAAAATGCGTCATGATTAATAAAGAAACTTGTATTTGAAACATTTTTCTTTAAAACCACAAATGGCGAAGTTATTGGCTACATTTCAGACATTTGACACAACTGTATATTCTGGAACTAATGGAGAAGCGCAGGTAATGTAAAATTAAGAATAATCACATTGGGTACAGAGGTCTTCAAAGAAGAATAGGAAATGAGATTAGAGTGGGAAAAGAGAATTGGCTGCATGAAAGGTGTCGGGAGGCTGAAGATCTTAACAGGTTTGGAGACAACTTTCATTTACATAAAAAAGTCAAAGAAATAGCTGGGCTTTATAATAATAGATTGCTAAATTTCATTAAGAATGAGCACAATGAAATAGTGACAGAAACTGAAGAACTGTTGCAAATATAGAGAAAATATAGAATTGGCCTCTTCTCAGCCAGGACCAAATATATTAAGAAGGGAAGTCGTTCACGCCATTAAGTCAATGAAGAGTGGCAAGGCGTAAGATCTATCAACAACATCTATGACTCTGGACACTTTCCTGGGACTGGCTCCACTCTACGTTTGTCGCACTACCAAAATCAAATAATAATCGAATACCTCGTGAGAAGAATACCGTCTCATTAGTATAATGAGCCACTTTCTAAAACTTTTCCTGCAAATTCTACATAGAAGGCTTTATCAAATATGTGAGGAAGCAAGTGGAGACAGTTAGTTTGGATTTATAAGCGGATTTGGAACCAGAGAAGCCATGTTTAGTCTCCAGACACTGGTGCAAAGTTTCCAAGATCATAGAAAGGACGTCTTTATGTGCTTCATCGACTATGAGAAGGCGTTAAACACAATCTTACTTTATAACATACCTTAGAGATCTGGGACTGGATGCAAAGGATATAAGACTAATTGGTAATCTATATTGGCACCAAAAAGCGGAAGTCCGAATAAATAACACTGGAACAACTGAGGATTTTGAAATCAAAAAGGGCGTTCGCCAAGGATGTATCCTAAAGATGCTGTTCAACCTATACGTAGAAAGAGGATTCTCAGAGTCAATCTCGAATAGTCTCTTTGGAATTACACTAAACGGAACCCCTATTAACAATATCCAGCATGCGGATGACACCGTGATATTAGCGGATAGTACGAATGATTTGCAAAACCTACTAAACCGGATTAACGAAGAAAATACATGTTGATGGAGAGATCATCGAACAGGTCAAACAATTTAGATACTTGGGATGCATGATCAATGAGGGGTAGAACAAGTTTAGAACCTTTCTAAGACTTTGAAAATTTTTTACGGACAAGAACCTGAATTTCAGCCTCAGATATAGGATGATAAAATGCTACGTCTGATCCGTTCTCGTATATGGGGTTGAGACGTGGACGCTGAAAATATCAATCATCAACAAACTGGAAGCCTTCGAAATGTGGATCCTGCGGCGAATGTTGAAGGTGTGTTGGGCCGATCACCTGTGTAACGAAGACGTTCTCTGCAGGGTCGACTTAGGAGAACGAGAACTTTTTGAAAATATCAAGAAAAGAAAGATAGGTTATCTCGGGGAGAACTACATATACCACGGGGAGAACGGTACCATTTCCAACGCCTCATTCTCCAGGAAAAATTTGGGGAAGGAAAAAGACGAATAGGTAGAAAAAAATTATCGTGGCTAAGAAATATCCGCTAGTGGACAGGGACACATGACTTCCAAACATTACAGAATGCTGCACATAATAGAACCAGGAATCTGTATGGCACATTAAGAAGAAGAGAAGAAAAATATACAACAATCTAACGTTGAATAACAAGTAAAACTAGGTCTAGTGTTAGTTCTAAAGTACTTACTTGTAGTTTAGTGTTAGACTAGAACTAACACTAAACCTTGAACTACAAACATTCGGGTTTAGTCGTCTCTTAACCCGAATGTCTCTAGTTCTAGGTCTAGTGTTAGTTCTACTTTTAGTTCAATAAAAATATACAACAATCTAGCGCTGAATAACAATTAAAACTAGATCCGCTAGAACTACCGTTCTTGATTGATACATTGAATAGACAACTTGGGGAATACCCCGAGTTAATCTATGAACATCGAATAGAGCAACTTGGGGAATAACCCCAGTTGGATTCGATCTGTGATTAGCGCTCATAGATTCATTTATATTTAAATATACTGATATATTAAATAGATAATATTATATTTTCCGTTTTAACGAGGTCTGTTATATCGAGGTTTTTAGTGAACTTTCTTTTTTAATAGATTAATTTTTTTGTGCTAAAGTTAAAATTGTTTTAAATTAAATATTTAGCGATACAACGGGTTACCAATGGTTAGATAAATCGCAGTTGGAAACTAAACTAGTTGAAACTATAACTGATAGGGAATATGATAATTTTGTTACTGCTATTGAAAGATTAGTGAGTCTTCCTTATTCGTACAAATGTATAGATTTTGTAAGAAACTATCAAAAAGCCTTAATAAGTCAAACAAAATCAATGGAAATACCTGAGTTGAAGTATGATGAACAAGGTAGAGGATACATTACAGTTTACGGTGAGTTAAATTTAATTTAGAAGATGGATTTATTGTCAGTACTTTTAATGTTGATTTCATTTTTAGAATGTTTAAGAAAAAAATCTCGTGGGCATGTTACGATTAGATCTCCTGGATCTGGTGTAATAACAGTCAATAATAAGGATCTTTCATATTTTCACGATCTTCAATCAAGGGAACAGGTGAGTTATAAAAAATAGATCATTCAAATCATTATGAATTTTAAATTAAAAAATTGTGTTCCAAATTTTATTAATTTTCACATGCTCATAACCAGCGTTGGCAAACCGTTGCTAAATGAAAAACCTGACACAAAATAGCGCATCTCTTTCTTGTTTCGCACTTTTACTTTTGCATGTGAAGAGGATAATGTAAATGATGTACCCCTTCTTATTTCATGTTTAAATGAGCAAGTGAAAAATAAGCCATGTATAGAGCCCCAAATGAAGTTATTGTTTAAGTTCTTTCCAGTTGTGCAAAAACTGTGTTAAGACTTTTGCTAATTCGAAACTTGTGAAGAAATTATTAGTAGTCACATTGTTTTTTTGATGGTTTCCCAGTGTGAAGCTGGCTTTGTAATGGATAGCCATTTGGTGCGTCAAAAGTCCAGAAAACTTTTATCTCATATTTTGCCGGTTTGGATGATATTTATACTGTATAGACTTAATATGACCTCTATATGGAAATAATTATTCGTCAATGGTTTGCCCAAATTTTTGTCAGCATTGTCCATATGTCCCGTATTGGTGCTACTTTGTCTGTTTTCGAAAGTACTAAATGTGTAATTTCATTATTAAATTTGATAAACCTTAACATATTATTGAATCGGTCACGCGATATAGCTACTCACATTAGAGACAGGGCATCAATTTTCCACATATAATCTGGATCTGGATCTTATTGTCTCTGTGCACATCACTAAAAATAAATGCGACCAAAAAAGGGTCAAACTCAATTTCCGTAAACTTTTGAAATGTCTTCTGTGGTGGCTGCTCTGAAATATTAGGAAAGCTTTCAATCAAATTATTGTTGTAAGCTTCATAAACTTTATTAGCCTTCCTAAGAAACGAACCATATCACAACGAATAAGAAGTACTGATTCGAAAAAGAAATTCTTATAAAGTTCTGATCATTCCGAAATAATTCCAGAAATATAAAAAGATGCCTTTTTACAGAACAGACACAAAACAGACTAATAATTTCTATTAAATATTTAATATAACAACAGACACATTTCAAATAATTTATCTATTTCAATTACTTTTCTATAAATAATGAAGTGTAAAATGTGTCTGAAATGATTCAATTGGATATAAAAACAAAACTAAAAAGAGAGTTAGTCAGAATCAAGTTTGATTCAAGTGAAAATAATTATCTTATTAGAAATAACAGAAATAAATTCGTTTGAAATTGTCCTTGGGAGAGTCATATGCAAATTTTAATCCAGTTTCTTTTATGAAACTTTATAACCCCATTATTGTGACGAAACTGACACCATAGTTTTAATTATTCTATTCTCTGATAACAAACTCACGTTTTAATAGAATTTTGCTATCTAATATGGATAATACAATAAGTTGTAATTACAACTTATTTGTTCTCGCAAATATCAAATATTTGCGCTTTTATCTTTGTATAAATCGCGAGTAATTCTGCAGGAAATTCTTCTGCATGGTACGCGTTATCGTTTGTAAAGCAAGTGTTCTTTTGCTTGCAACGGTCTAAGCTGTTGGTGCGTCATCGACGGATGGAATAGAATTTCTGTGTCGCCGCTGATATTTCTCGGTCAAGTTGACCATCACCTTCCGAAGGCACACAATCGGTTCCCCCTCTAAATGACCGTGCACGCCAAAAAGACTATCTCGGCACGGATCACCACAAACAAGTGCCGCAATTTAACAATTTACATTGTTCGCTACTGTTGTCCACAACCAACTACAAGCAATTCGCAGTGCGGAGAGAGAGAAAATTGTTTGGTTTTGCAAATCCACGTTTGCCGTCGCATCATTTTTTTTCTTTTTATATCCGGCACTGCATAAGCGACTCAACAGGTAGAATCACCATAAGGAAGGAGTAACGATAGTTATGCTGCTAATGAAATATCATTTCGACTTGTTCCATGGACTTGATAGTGCTTTAGTGAACTTAATCATGGAGGCAGGAATAATCAACGTCAACAGGAATCATAATTCCAGGTGAGTGTTTCTTTTTTATTTTGAAACCCATTTTTTAATTCGTTGTGGCGCGCTATTTCTTTAACGAGATAATAGCGCTTTTTAAACGCCTCCGTGACGTTTCTAAGGGCGTAAGTAATATTCTAAAACTGAAAAAGCTGCGAGTTCCTCAATTTGTGAGGATCTCACGCAATTAGAATTAATTGGATAATAGACTGGATTTTGACTCGTTTAGGGATTCTAAATATCCTGTGGGTTTTAGAATAGCGGTTAAACAGAGCGCGGTGACTTTTTTCAATTCTCGCATTTAAAGAGGTAAATAATCCGGAATTAAAAATTATAATAGTGAATTATTCAATTTTACTGAATTATGTATTTATTTCAGGGTAGTTTTCAATTTTTTGAAAAATTTGTTTAGATAAATAAAGTTTTGGTGTAATATTTGCATAAGATAATAGTACTTTTTTTTATATTGTAGAGATTTGCGCTGTTAATTAATTAAAATTGGGATAAACAACTTCGTTCCCGTTATTTAAATTTTATTACGATACCGGTTTTGAGCAAATTAGCTCATCATTTTTTTATACGATTGGAAAACAGTAAACATGTTCAGGTAAATTCGGCAATTTATTTAAGGAGATGAAAGTTTTGCGTTTAAAAAAGTCATTGATCTTTGATTTGTAAACTTTCACCAAATTGTCGAACAAAATGTTCAGCGAATTGGCCGAATTTATTGTTGAATTTTGCATATAATAGAATATCGTAAACAATATCTTAGAAAATGTTTAAAATTGTGGAAAATTACAAAAATTATATTTAGAATTCATTTAAAATCATTTAAAATTCCTGGATATTATTAGAAAATGTTATTAGACAATTTAATTTAAAAGTGTAAAAAATTATATGCTTAAGAATATTGCTTAACAAAAACTCATTATGATATCTTATACTATACTATCATATATATTCTTTCCCATCAAACTTTATGTGTAAGTGTTGAAATCGTTTATCCTATTCTAGAGGTCAAAGCTTGTGCGTATTTGTAGTAAGATTGTGTTCCTTATTGTTTTAATCATCCGAAAAAAAATTTCTCATCTAAGTATCAATAAGTTAATAGACGCTGATAAAAATAAGAATGACAAGGATAAGCTGAGAGATGAGCCGAATATAATTCGGTTTGTAAAAGATTATCCGAATGGTTTCTTACCTCTCAAGCCATAGTTTATAGTTTTCTTTTTCGAATGCAAAATACATTATTATTATTTGTAGTGTGTTTCAAAATCTGATGCCCCATAGCTATTGCAAAAAATTGTAGCGTATTGCATATTTAAAGAAATAGAAAATAGGTTTGTTTTAATCATTGGAAAATCCACATGGTTGTCAGAATATTTTGTGAATCCATAAGCAATTTTTCGAAGACTTTTAGATTTAGTAAAAAATATTCCATAGGTTTTGTCACACAATGGTATTCCATCTCTATACACGGATGCTGTGAGAGATTTCGAGTTAATAATGAGTTGTATCCAACAAAAAATAAACCACGGCGCTGTATATCACATCTCAAATTGTTCAAATATATATTTATTCATTTGCCGTGTCATAATAGTATATTAAAAAACAAGTTTCGTAAGACACGTTTGAAATGCATTGTATTCGTACAAGTTGAAAAAGGAGTGGCGAAACCACGAGTTTTTTAATGAATGAGTGCTTGAAGTCTTATGAAAAGTGTTTTTTATGCTATTTTTTGTAATTCGCGTTTTTATCCTTTTTTTTTCAAAAATAAAATAAATTTTGACAATGTAGGGAAATAGGTATAGCAGTTGGTAACACCGTAACACTTGAAACTAGAAATTTGAATTGACAATTAGATACTATCAAAACACAAAATGTATTCACCTGACAAAAATGTTTCATGTACACCTCCCAAAATAAGAGAAATTGATCAGAGTTCAATGTCCTCGTCATTGTGGACGTCGTATTCGATGCTAAGAACGTGTTTAAACATCCATAGACAACCATTGTCACATTGACAACTAGAAAAATTAATGACCCAATGTCACCAACTTGAACTGGTTCCATAAAATGTTACTAAAATCTCATTACAGCATCGGATGCTGTAAGGAGTCTCATTACAGCACCCGTTTGAGTACTGTTATAGCTTTTATTACCGTCGCGAATTACAAAAAAGTATCTTATGCTAATAATAATCTAAATAATAAAAATATACGAATAACCAAATAAAATTATTGTGTTTCAAAGAGTGTTGAAAATCAAGATATCAAAAGAAATGTAAGAATGAAGCAGTTATGAAAGTCTAGGTTCTCCAGCTGCATATTTTTTTAGACGTGCATATTAACTAACATATTAAGTAAATGTGTTTGCTGGATAGATATTTTCAGCAATGGGTTGTGCAGCCTGATTGACGTCCAACTGCTAGATTTTGTTTTGCCTGGTTCTGGAACTGTAGCACTATTTTAGCATAGAATATGTGGTGCAAAAGGTATACGTTTCGAGAACGTGGTAAAATAATCGACTACGAGTATACTTTGTTTTGAATATGATATATCTGCTAATCAAAGTATCTTAGATATGAATATATCCTTCGGGCTTCTAGATTAACCACTAGAGGCAATGATGTACAAAAATTGTCGAAAAACGACATGACTTCATAAATCTCGAATTGTTTGCCACAATTATACCGCAATGTTGGCAGAAGTTTTTAAACCAGACTAATTGGTAATATTACGTTAACATTTGCTCTATGTACACCTCGAAGTGATAGAATATCCATAAGATCCTCTTATCGTTATTGATTTCATTTTAATGATACACATGAGCTTATCGGCATGTTATCGGCATCTTGGAAGATTTGGTACTGCATACAATTTTTCATTCAGTTGATGACTATTGATGATATTGTCGAATCTTTTCAAAACAGCATATCTTTCCGAATAACTGTCAAAACTTCGATGTCTACAAATGAGCATAAGGAAAATATAATCTATTTAGTGACAGGTTTCAATCGTTTCAATTAAATCAACTCGTCTGTAATGAATTAACCCAATTTTATATATATTTTACTAGATAATCTACGTTTAACATTAAGATATTAGCATTATCACAACAAGTATTCGATTAAGTTAATATAGCGGTAATAGTGTTTATGAATATGTCGTCGCTGCCAATCCAAAACAGCATAAACACCAAAATGCTCACTTTTTATTTAGCAGCAACACGGTTGTAGTACAGCATTTTCAAATCTGCATCCAACAGTTAAATCGGCATAACCGCAAACAAACTTCAGAACGATAATATTCAATTACGTTAAAGTTATGCTAGTCTGACTTTATAGCAGTAAATATATTTTGAGATAAGTTTGTATTGTTCTATTTTATAAACGTTTATTAATTGAATCCTTCATTTGCTTTTTGATGGATTAATTGTATATGTATAATGTCAGCTGATGTTAGTGATACTCATGAGTCCATAAAAATAAAATTCTGCCTCTACATTATTAATATTTATTAAGGTAACCAATGTTTAGCAAAAGAATTATTAAACAAACTGTATAACACTGAATTTATGTATAAATTCATTTCTGTGGATAATCCAGGTTTAATATAATAGTAATGGACAATTTTCGCTCACTGATTCAATAAAGTAGTAGATTTCGGTTTCTCGCTTGCATGTATAAACAGTTATCATAAATTTTTGATTTGATCTTCATCTTGATTCTTGATTATCTAGAAAGTCCAACCATCGCCTATTATATACTGATGATATCTTGTTTGTAATATTTTTGTGACAGCCCAAAGTATCGGTACTTTGCTAATAGTTCTTAGTCTAAACACGCGTTATAAAATTTTTCCAGTATAGATACCAATATAATAATGAGCTAAAGGATATAAGATGGTTTAAATGTCTTCTTTATATCAAACTTGTTGCACATTTCTGGATTTCTTTGGGTTGTTCCAAGTTCTTGTATTACAACTTCCAGCACATTCCCTTTTCGCTCTTACGCCAGAAAGAATGTACAGAACAACCTAAGCAGCGTGTAATTAGTCTTAACCTTATCTTGTTTAAAAAGCTTTGTCACATGTAAAATAGCAGAAACCTTTCACGTGACCCTTAATCTCATGGTAAATAGTTGAATTATAATATTCTGATTACAAATAAACGTAGCTTTCTATTTGCCTTGCAACATTTTTCTTATTATTTGACATTTGATACTTTTACAGAATTTTTGGTGTCTAATTATTCAATTTCAGAATTCTACGAATAAGCTAGTTAATTTTAACAACCGATTTTTCGGTAAAAAAGATACCTATATCAATAATTAAAAATAAATTTTGATGGGAGAGAGTAGAATCAGAGAGCACAATGTGTTTTATAAAGTTATAAATATAATAAAACCCGCAATATTCGCTCATTCCAAATGGTCTTATCTGCGTGTCAAAAATATCCTTATCCGAATATGGTTTAGTGTTTAATTTAAATTTTGTTGGATTATAAAAATAAATTCAATTAATAATTCAAATTATTCAGAATCTTCATTAAGCGTTACTTGATTTGTGTCAAATTCTTTTAAGAGCTCAGTTTTATTTATGACTCAAATTAATTAATGTTAAATTATTCTTAAACCATAAAAAAATTCATTTGATAAAAACTATTGATATTCGTGGAATCGCAGAAAATAAAAAACATTTCTTAAAAGCATTTAAAAGTTATGGAAAATTACAAAAATAGAAGTAATTAAAAAAATTATTCGTTGGTAGTTAAAATTTAATTTCATTCTAAAAATTGTTTAAATTAATTGAATCTTATTCATTAAAAAAAAAAGTATCTCAACTAAAACTGACTTAAAAACATTTGACATTGAAATATCCTCATTGTAACCTTCCAGAAAATTTTGCTAATCACATCTTTCCTATTTACTTGATGGTCCGCACAAAGAAGTTAATTATCAACATTGGCTCAATTATGTAATATCGAACAAAACATGGCCATGACTATTTATCTAC